TATTACGTTTATCATCATTATTTCTACTCGTATAATTATGAATTATTGATTGATAATGATGAAAATATTTAATACATTTTTTTTTAATTCAATTTTTAAACCCAATTTGCGTAAGATGATGATTGATGATGCTGAAATTTGTAAAATTTAACAATTTGATTTTGATTTAGTCTTCTTTTATTTAAGAAATTTTCTAACACGATAATAAATATTACTCTGACTACGTCGAGATAACGATTAAATCATAACATCACAGACATTTGACTTCTTACCTTCTATTTCCGAAGAAAGAAACTGAATTACTCACCCTCAGTTTCTTCTTTCACCTTTCTGATCCCCCTCTCTCTCTCTCTCTCTCTCTCTCTTTCTCTCTCTCTCACACACACATACACTTCTCTTTCTCTCTCAATTTTCTATTTTTGTTACCCTAGTTCATATTTGAAATTTTGTTGGTGAAAATCGATACAGCTTTCATAATTCTTGATTTACGTATTTATTTATTTATTTGAAACTTATCGGACGTAGAGGGATGAAGAAGAGAAAGTAATTTCATTCGTTGATAATTCTAGAGGGGTCAAAAAGTATACACATTGAACCCTCGGTTATGTTTCTTGTTTTATTTTTTTTTTTTTTTTTTTTTTTTTTNTTTTTTTTTTTATTACAAAATTTATCGTCGAGGTAGAAAAACTTATCGCACAACTTTTCAAGCCACCGTTGTAAATCTTTAAAGTGATGATCTCTTTGGATGTGAAGTTGCGGCTCTTTGCGGCTCTTTGCGGCTCTTTAGTTAAAAGAGTCGAGTAAAAAAAAAAAGAAATAAAAAAAAACAGAAAAAAAATTGTTCTGAATTGATTAACGAGGGAACCGATGAATAAATAGATTAGTTTTTTCTTTTTTTTTTTTATCAAACAGATTTATTTATGCGAGTTATGCGAGTATTATTTATTTTGCTGGCAAGAAAAAATACTTTGGGTGGCTGTTTAAATCTTAGAAATGTTGTAAATTGTAATTTTTGGCTCTTTCGACTGAAAAGGTTGCCGACTCTCCTGGGATAATGTTATACAAAACAAAAAATAATTACACTAACGAATATTTTATCTTTTTATATATATATATATATATAAACATTTACACAAGTAATTGCATGTATGCGTTTTGATTGATTTTAATATTTATTTGAACGATATATAAAAACACGAAGAAAATTAATATCGCGATATGTTATCACTAGCAAACCTGAAAGCCAATTAATTAATCCAGTATTCTGAATTTAGTAGTCCCACTTAATTACCGAGTTTTACACCTTAATAAACAGACACGTGTATAATAACATAGAAGACGCACACTTTTAAATAGATACGTTATTTTTTCTTGTTTTCCTTTTTAAAAACTTTAGAATCATCTTTCAAATTATATTTAATTTATAGCGACATTGAAAAAACTATATTGTGATCTTTTGAAAAATATAAACGAAAAAAAAAAAAAATTAATTAACTAATTATAACAAAAAAAATTTGATATCTTATTTGAGAAAAAATGGGACATACTAAATTTATCACATAAAAAAAAAAAAAAGTAAATTAGAATACAAAAAAAAAACACTAGAACAATTTGTGTTTAATTTGATAAATGACATAGTTGTGAGAAGAAAATATGAAAGAAAATGTTGTAATTTCATTTTCATTGAAGAAAAATGTTCATTCAGAAAGTTGCCATTTTACAAAGAGTCAATCTACAGTAGTTGGTACGCACATATGTGTGTGTGTATGTGTGTGTGTGTATGTGTATATTCATTTGAAACGTTGGTTAAAATGTAAACATGTATGCAAACGTTATAAACGCTGATAACAAAGGACCTAGGATTATACGATGTCGAGAATAGAATGGGGGGGGGGGAATATTACAGGTGAAATTAATTTTTTTTCTTTTTACGTATACGCACACATGTGTGTGTAGCTTATTGTATTCGTTCCATCAACCAAAAGGATTGATCTTCTTTCTAAAAGAAAATCAAAGGATATTATCTCCTTGGTTTTGTTCTTTTCTATATAATCGTTTCCGTAGGAGTACTTTTCTTGTGTAATTATTAAGAAAAAGAATAAGAAGAAGAAAAAAAAAAAAAGATGATTTTACGTTTATAGAAACACGTTGAAAATTAAAATGAATTTTTCTTCTCAAATTTAACCTTTGCTTATTACTATACTTGGTTCAAAGAACTCAGACCCTTTTTTTTTTGCAACTTGAGTCATTTTTCTCAATTGTTCAAGTTTGGTCATTTTTTCAACATATTTAAATTTAATTTAAAGCTATAAAACCTATATAGTCTTTTGAAGTAAGTATTAAAGAAGTCCCCTAAAAAAATGTTGAAGTAAATCTATGCAATGGTTTTTTTTTTTTATAACGATTTTCGGTGGTAAGCAAAGATTAAGGCACAAAATGTTATTTTCAAATAATAATATTAATATTTTATATACACGTGATAGATAAGAAATCATTTTGTTAATTTTGATGATTTTTTTCTTTGTCAATGTTGTCAAACAAAACTGAATTGAAAATAAATTGTCATTATAAATTCCCGTGTCATTTTAGAAATATTTGAAGAATAAAATTACTAAAAATGAGGCCCATTATTAAAGCAACGTATGCACGTAGGTGCATATATCAAACAGTATCAATGCATATGATTATTAATGACATTTTACTCGATTTGCAAGATATTTGCTATTTATATTTCTCTTCTTCATCATCTTTCTCTTCGTTTATATTTTCTCTCTCTCTCTCTCTCTCTCTCTCTTTCTCGTTAAAAGCTTTTATTATACATTCAAAAACCAGTTTTGCAACTTGCAATGATAAACGTTGAAAAAATAATTTCTATATATATATATATAGTCTTTTGTATTTTATTTTAATACATTTTTCTGTCTATTCAACATTCAGACGTTTCTTTTGAAAAAAAAAAAATTTACATTTTGAAGAATACTATTAAAAAAAAAAAAATAGAAATGTAAATTAAAGTAAATCGTAGTTACGAACTTTTGAAAACAAAAATGTATATTTGTATATATATATATATATATATGTAAATTAAATAATATCAACACTTCTTTGTTTATTAAATGAATTATTGATATTATTTATTTATATATATATATTATTTTCTTCCATTCATTATTCATCTCGTTAAAATTTGTTATGACATTTTCTTTTCAAATCGTACGCTTTATTATTACCATACAACGTGAACTTTCATATTTCTGAAGATTTCCCGCGAAATGCCGAGCGCGTCCGAGCAAAGACGAAAAACAACGATTGACCAATTAAACATTTAATTTGAACAATCGCGCGGTATTTTTAAATTCAATGAAAAACAAAACAAAACAAAAAACTTGGAAAATTCTTTCCTTTTATTTCGTCCTTTGCTTTTTACAAATGGAAATGTTAAAAAAGAAAAAAAAAAGGACAATAAAAGTTTATTGTTTGACACGTTCCTTTGGGAAATCGATGGAATAAATAAAAGGAAGAATAAAAGTTGCAAGATTGGAAGAAATCGTCATTTCTCTCTTTCCTCCTTATTTTCTTTCATCTTCATTTTCTTTTTCTTACGTTTCTTCATTCGATGTTTACATCCAACACACATATTTGCCAATCGAAAAATATCTATTTGTAGTTTCAGTTATCACTCGTAAAAGGATACAATTGTAAATTGTAATAACATCCGCCTACTTTGTTTGAAATAAGAAATATTAAAACTTATCAGGGAGATTTTTCCTTATCTTCATTTACTTTTACATTAATACACACTTGATTTATGATTTTAATATTTAATATTATACTTAATCCCATTCAAAGGATATTTTAATCGTTTCGAGTTTAATAACACTGTCGTTATTTTACTTTTGAAATATACTACGTCAATCAAATACAAATTTACACAAAGAAATCGATTTGACAATCGAGTCTTTATAAATAATAAGGGTGCCTGTCCCGCCACGTGTTGCTGTGGCTCACAATCAGTCCGATACCTTTGTTAATAAACAAATAATTGACAATAAAATAATATTGCGAATTATAAATTGAGATATAAACTATTCTATCTTTCAAGTTGGATGAAACTGCACACAGTGTGCAAAATTTGATTAAAATCGGTTCAGTAGTTTAGGAATCCATTGCGGACAAACAACGTGACATGACGTAATTTATATATATATATTAAAATTATTATAAATATAGATAGACACGTGGAAACTGTGAAATGTTTTTTTATAAAAAGAAAAAAAGAAAAGAATCTACTTTAATATCTGTGTAATAGATAATTTTAGATCGTAGATTAGATAAACGAAGCATGATAATTGGATTCAGATAAGGAACGACAAGTTTAGAAATCGCTTCGAGCAATAATACCACACTAATCTAATTGACCGATTCATTGTCGCTTCATTGACCAATCAACGTGTTCTACTTCGCATATAACATTTTTTTTTTATTTATTTATTTATTTATTTATTTATCTTGATACTCTTCTAATACATATTATCAAATAATTAATAATTATTGATAATATTAGAACAAAAGATGATATCGGAATGTGACAAGATGAAATGTCGCACTAAATACATATATATATATGAATAATGAATTTCTTTAATTAAACGACACTATTATCTTTCATTGTAACTGATCGATCTGATTGACTTTTGAAAATGCAATCACTGTTATCTCAATTAATTAATCGCGTCCAATTATGAAGCAATTAAAAATGATTATTTCTAACCTTTTACTCGTTATCGATGTATATTTTAGAAATGCATAATACAATGGCAACGACATATCAAAATTATCGATCATTCGTGTGACGATATTCTGACAATTCAATAAAGAACGCGTGTATACGCACACGTTTACTGTATATAAAAGTTTAACATGTATATATATATTGGCAATCATAAATCATATTACATTATTTATTTTAATGCTATTTTTAAACTCATATTTGTTAACAGGTTGTACCAAAACGAGCAGCATTGCTGTTTGATCAATTAATGATAGCTTTACAAAAAGTCGTAGATAATCAAGGAGGAAACATTGGAAGTAGCAAATCTGTACCAAAAGCTATACCTCTACAAATGGCCAATCCACAAATACAGTCATCTGAAGAACAAACGGTGATGATTCTCATTAACAAAAAAAAAAAAAAAACGGCCATTGTGCAACTGAAACACAGAATACTTTTAGATCCCAGCAATACTGCCAACTGAACATATTCTCATTAAAAAAAAAAAAAAAAAAAAAACTAGATTTAATTTAATTTAATAATAAATTGTAATAATCACAATGATAATTCAATCAATGTAAACACATATTAATCTTTGCTTACCACCCTTCCTTGGAGTAACACGCTTACCACACCCGGGTCCCTTGGACCCGGACGAGAAAAATCGTTATAAAAAAGAAACTATTGCATAGATTTACTTCAACATTTTTTTGAGACTTCTTTAATATCTACTTAAAAAGACTATATAGGTTTTATAGCACTAAATTAAATGTAAATATGTTGAAAATAATTATCAAAGTTGTACAATTGAGAAAAATGACTCAAGTTGCAAAAAAGGTCGTCTGGGTTCTTTGAACCAAGTGTGGTAAGAAGCAAAGGTTAATAGTAATTATTCTTCTTTGTAATTATCTTATTATTTGAATGTTAGAAAAGAAATGCAATCTGATTGATTATTTTCTTTTTTTTTTTTTTATAGATGGATTTACAACGAAGAGGACAATCGAAAAGTCGCGTTTATTGGAGATGTTATTTCAATGCTGTAACATGCTTCAAAAAGAAGTGATAACATTTCTCTGAATCAATTGCTGATTGATGATTTATCAATTGCTAAAGAAAGTTCTTAATACAATTATTCCTATGCTTTGACTGATAGCAAATTTCTTCTTTATTTTTAATTAGTTTCGAAGAATTCAGTTTGTTATTTCTTTCGTCTTCTTTTTCGCTAAGAAATCAATTAAACAACATTAATATTCTAAACTGGAGATAATTATATTCAATCAATCAAACTAATTAATTAGATTCAAATGAAATTATTTTAACAATCATGATTAATTTATTTATTATTGTCGTATTATAATTTTAAGCATTGTCAATGTTCTTCAATTTTATTGTTAATTTCTAATCACTGGTCAATGACTCCCTCATGGCTGATGTTTCAATGAAATAAACAATAACAATTATATAATCTAACAAATGCGATTTTTATTTTKTTTTTGTTTTTTGTTTTTTGTATCGATTTAATAATTGCAATAAATATTTCTCATCATCTCGCACAGTGCGTGCGCATTTGAGTTTTACGACAAGATGAAGATGAAATATTTTTATTGAGATAAGCTTTACATGACTCACATCTTATTGCATTTTACAATTTTAAATTTGAAACAACAGTCTTCTTCTTCTCTTCAAGGTAAGATCGAAAATGAACACACGTGATGATCAATTTCCATGAGATAAATAATGTTACAAATAGGAATATAATTAATAACCAAAAATCCGTACCTCTTTATAAAAATATTGAAATGTTGTTAAACTATTTATATTTTACAGATTTATTAATCAATAAGTTTAACAATTATATTTGCGATATTATTTAATAGAATAATAATTATAAAGCGATACGGGATATGAAATAATGTTAATCAATCATTAGATCATTTTTGTATCTATTTGTTGAAAATGATTTGTTGTTTAGTCTTTTTGTTTCGTACATCGTATAGAAAATATTACCACAATATTATTGATAATTAAAAATATATATGTATAGAATTACATAATAATAACAATATTTAATTTAAATATTATTTAAATCATCATCGTTCGAGTCTGTATCTTCAGTAAATCTTTCAAAGCATATTATTAATTCACAATGATTCGTATGAGGAAACATATCTACAGGAACAGCTTTGATCGGTACAAAAGGTTTGCCAGCAAATAATTTCGATCTTGGTCTTGTAAGATCCAACAAATTTTTCATAGCAGCTTGAGGATTACAAGATATATAAATCAATCTATTCAATTTATTAGTCCTACGTAACGTTAATAATGTTTTTTGATCTACAAATAAATATGCGTAAAATGATTTCATTATTTATTTGATATAATATCTCTACATACATATAGAAATGTTTGTTTACTTACCTATACCAGCTCTTGGTGGATCAAGCACAGCTACGATACGAGATTTGGTTGCCCTTTGTACAATAGGATATAGAATCTTTTCTGCTTTACCAGAAAAAAAGTCACTATTGGTAATACCATTTTGAATAACATTTTGTTTAGCATCTTTAATAGCATCAGGTACAATTTCTACTCCTAACACTTCACCGCAATGCTGTATAAAAATAAGAATCAACTAAGGTAAAGAGCAAAATTTGTTTTTGCGTTTCATTAATCATACACAATATATATATATATATATATATATATATATATATATATATATATAAGCATACCTCTGAGAAAGATAAACCTATAGAACCAGTACCACAACAAATGTCTAGTACTGTAGTATCATTAGTTGGTTCTGCCATATCGATAATTGCTTTATATAAAACTTCAGCACCTAATGTATTTATTTGAAAAAAGGCTTGCGGTGATATACGAAATTTCTTATTTAACAACATTTCTTCTATATACTCGGCTCCACTTATATGCTGTATAGTATTTCCAGGCTCACTACCAGCACTTCTGTAAAATATAAATAAAAACAAATTATAGAAAAATGACGATGTAATAATATATTTGTCATTTAATTATTAACCTACTTTTTTCTCATTATTTGAAAATAAAGTGATGTAACATTTATACTGGATCCTTTTCCAATTTCGACAAATTCTTTCAGCATTGTTTGTAATTCTTGTAATTTGTCATCGCTCAAATCTTGAGGATTTATTCCAACTATTAACATTAATTGATTGAGACGACTGGTTCTAACAGTAACTTGTTTCCAATATCCACTGTTATCAACTGGATTAAAAGGTTCTAAACCAGACATTTGTATAAATTCTTCTAAAATCTATAATATAAGTAGATTGAAATTATTTGACACATAGATCAAATCATTCAACAATAAAATATAATATTACCTTCATAGCAGTTTTCATACTTGTAGGAATATGACAGAGATCATCGATAGGACCAACTGCTGTACAACCATCAGCATAACTAGACAGTCTGAATCCAATTATTACTTTATCACCTTTTACATTTTTACCTGCAATATAATTCAAATATTAACAATAGTTACAATTTATTTATTATAATATATAATATCTTAATATAATATGCAAAACGTTATTCATCATTTACCAATTGTAAATTCACATTTGTTTCTATAACCTTCTGTACTATCAGCATATAGTATAGGTTTTAATTCACAAGGTAAACCTTCATAGAGTTCCTTTTGCGAATGAAGCCATTTTGATAGTTTCAAACCATTCTGATTATTGTAATTACTAAGCATTTTCTGTGCGAGTTCTATTAATACAGACTTCATTTCTTCTTGCTTGAATTTGAGCTGAAATATTAATAAAAACAATATTTCAATATTTACATATGGTGTATAAAAAAAAACATTTGAGATAATCTTTTAACTCTTTGCGGCATAGAATTTCAGATAATAAAATAGACCTATGTTGCATAGAGAAATTTGATTACGTTTTTAAATGAAACAAAATTGGTATATCTTTTAATAAAATTATTGCATAATGTAATAATGTAAAAACATATTAAAAAAAAGAGTTAATAACCAATTGTTTTGCATAAATAAGAAGAAATATAAACTTATGAGCATGTGTAGTAGCTATTGCAATAATATTTCAAAGTGGGACTAAAAATATCCCATGTGTGCCTCAAAGAGTTGAAGAAATGTATAATATCGTCGTACTTGATCTGGATAAGACATATTCCATAGAGGAGTAGTTTGTAATTTAATTTTATCCATGTCAGACATATTCGGATCAGTGTTAGCGTTTAATTTCTTATTAGTCTTATTCTTTTCTAATTTTCGTTTTATAAATGGATCTGGAGCAGGTTTAGCGATCTAAATAACAAAATGAAAAGTCAATATTTGAATGAGAATGAAATTGTTTTAAAAGTTGTCTCTTATAAACAAAAAAAATAAAAAAACAGATCAATGATAATACCTGAGCGGTAAGTTTGCAATTTTTCCATGTAATTCCATTTAAAGTTGATATAGCTTGTGCACGACATTCTTCACTTCTAAAACTAACATAAAGCCAACCGTTGGAATCTTTCATTGATTTAACCTTGCATGGTTTTAATTTAAGCTTGATGGTCAATAATTTTTTAAATTCTCCAATTCCATAATATTTGGGCAATCCGCGTACTTCAACTTTAAACTTTTCTGATGTGAAATTTTCTCTTTCGAGATAAGCGTAAGGATTATTTTCATCTTTCTCTTTAGTATCTTCTGCTGGTGCTTCTTTAGTTTCAGAATCTGTCATTGTTATTAAATGAAACTAATATCAAGTACTAAATATCATATAACACGTGTGGATGATCATGAATCATCTCATGAATTTGTCACTGTTATTATTTAGATTATGTCACTTACAAATTTTCTTTTAATTGATTTTGATATTTTCAATAAACTTTTTTTTTTTTTTTTAATCTGTTATTTATAAATTCTTCATTAACTTATTCTTTACACGAAATAGTAAATATTTGAAATTACACAGGTTACATATGTTTCAAGTCACTGTACACTATTTTTTAATGTAATCAGCACCATCTATTATTTTAAATATCAACTTTATCTTATTTCCGAATCGTCGTGTCGGTAATATCGCTCAGTCGATAATATTAAAAAATAAAATTGCTTCTAGATAATTGTTAAAAAGAGTAGATATTTTGAAATTATTTTAATAATAAATAGTTCGATATTATTTGCGATAAAATTATTTAAAACCATTAAATGATACAAAACAAAAAGTATCACTAATATTGAGCTTTTCAACTGGAATAAATAAACAAAATGTCATTTTGTTCAAATCTTCTTCAAATTTAAAGCTTTCAATTCAATCAAATGATATTATTTAAATAACATATTTACAAATGTACACGCGATTCATTTAATAATACATTATTATTTTGCATGTTATTTATATATTGTTTGGTTTAATGAATATAGATTCATTTTGATCATTAGCAGATACTTTATCTGTTTGAAAAATTAAAGTAAAATCTCTAAAAATGGAAATATTAATAATTAGTTATAGTATATGCAATGAAATGTTAAAAAATATAATATTCATTTAAAAATCTGTATAAATTTACCTTTTTAATGCGTAAGCCTCATTATTATCTATGTTAGTATTAACAGATTTGAGAACATCATTGTTATAATTAGAAAATGCTGTATTATCTGTATGAATTTCTTTTTTTCTGAATTGAAAATTAATCGTATTTACTTCTATTTGATTTTTATTTTCCATGTCTTCTTTGAAACGTTTTATTGCATTCTTGCTTTCTTCAATAAATTTATATTTTCTCTTTCTTGCTCCATATACTTGTTTTGATTCGTACTTAGCTTGTAAAGATCTGTTGTTAAAAAAAGAGGATTGTAATGTAAAAAACATTATATCAATACTATGTTTGTATGGGAATGATATTACTTTAAAGGACTAATCTTAATTTTGGTTTTTAAAGTTTCAAAAAAATGTGTATCGTCTTCATCATTATTCACTTTGTTTTCTTCTTCTATCACCGGTTCTATCAAAGATTTACGAAATAAATTTTGTCGAGTAATGGCAGAGGAACATATGATTCCTAATAAAAATAATATATGAATTTATTTCCAATCAAAACTCTTTAAGAATAGTTGCAAACATTATTAACATTAACATTTAAAAAATAAATACTTGAATAAATGGAATTTAATTTTTCTGGATCCATAGTAGAAACCATCAAACTATAAACGCACGTAAATTTTACAAAAATCAGAATAATTATGAAAACATCTTAATTACTGAACACTTTTATTAAAATATATAATACTAAAATGCATATACGTGTTATTATTGAATTTAATTATCGACTGACATTAAAAAAACATTTGAAAGACAGTGTGCATAAGGAAGATGCGCAGAAGCAAGATACGCATAAGCAAGATGCGCAGAAGCAAGGTACGCATAAGCAAGATGCGCAGAAGCAAGGTACGCATAAGNTACGCATAAGCAAGATGCGCAGAAGCAAGGTACGCATAAGCAAGATGCGCAGAAGCAAGGTACGCATAAGTAAGATGCGCAGAAGCAAGGTACGCAGAAGCAAGATGCGCAGAAGCAAACTACGCATAAACAAGATGTGCAGAAGTAATATACACATAAGCAAGATGCGCAGAGCGAATATATGCAGAAATATTTACGCAATGATTAGTTATGCTCAATTCACACGTCTTAGCATCAAGAATAAATATTAACAAATCACTCGATAAACAAATGCATAAATAAATATAGATAATCAATATAATTGATAAGAATAAATTATTACATTTAATTGTTACGAAAAAAAAACAGCAGGTTGTATTAACATTACGATCATTCTATTAAAACAAATTAGAGGTTAGTCGATATACGTATGTATGTAAATTCATGTTAGATTTCATCATATAAACTCCATAACCTCTCTTCAATGCTGTATATTTAATATCTTAAGAGTGCAGAAAGGATATATAATATAAAATAGTGAAAAAGGAACAAATAAAAGAATGCGGTGTGTTATGACAATTAAAAGTAAATTATTACCGGTATTTCGTCATAATGCGACGATTTGTCGATCGTTTTACAGAAATCATCATTTAGATACTCGCAATGTATTACCGGTTTATATTAAACCACAATTTCCTCGAATAGAACTTCGTAATCAAAGCTATGGAATATTGAGTCGAAATATTCGAAATCGTAGAGAATGCACAGCTATTTTATCTGTCAGATTATTTTCATCTAAGAAACCAGATAGACTTCCTCCAAAGTATGTACATTTTCTTTTCGCATTCATAATAACACTTTTTAAATGAATGAAACCTCATTAATATATTGTTATTATTTTAGTGAAAATGATGCAGAACAATCGGAAGACTATTCAGCCACTTTACCTGCTACGGTGGTTGTGCCAGAAGTATGGCCTCATGTACCGGTTATTGCCATCAATAGAAATCCTGTTTTTCCTAGATTTATTAAACTTATAGAACTTTCTAATCCTATTCTTATCGATTTAATACGTAGGAAGGTTAAATTAAATCAACCTTATGTTGGAATATTTTTGAAGAAGAATGAAGAGTAATTATTGTTCTAACAAAATAATTGATCATTATCATCAATTAAATATCTGATCATTTCTTATTATGTTTTTTTGTTTTAAATAGAAACGAATCGGAGATTGTACAAAATCTTGATGATATTTATTCCGTTGGTACGTTTGCCCAAATTCATGAAGTACAAGATTTAGGAAATCGTTTAAGACTTGTAATAATGGCGCATAGAAGGATTAAGATTGTTGGACAAATATTCGAAGATGTTGCTGCGATGCAACCAGTGCATGGTAAAAAATTTAAATAATAATTTAGTATTTTTTTTATAAGATAAAGTTCAAAGGTAACACAAGACTCGATAAAACTAATTTATTTATTTATCTTTATTTACAATGATTCATCTATATATTTTCAATAATTTTAAACAAGTGTTGAATAATTCGCTTGTGTGAAACATATGTTAAAATGTTTGGTTGTCTTTTTTTCTTTTTTCTTTTTTTCTTTATGACAATATGATCATTTGTACGGGCAGAGAATAATTTCGCTTTTTTGTCGCAAATATAAAATTGCCTATTTTATGCAGAGATGAAACTGACGTTTCCACTATTAAATACAACAATTAACGTCCCTGTAGACGATACTATGACTGCTGGTAAAGTGAGCCGTAGATCTGCACAACGCAATAAAAAATCAGAGAAGATATCTGGATCGACAGAAAATATAGATAATTCTACTGTAGTAGAAAATATCATAAAAGATAAACTGCCATTGGAACAAAAACAAACAGAGCTCTCTCCTGAATCAACGACAACTACAACAACAACAACATCATCATCAGATTCTCAGCCGATTGTAATGGTAGAAGTTGTAAATGTAACGCATGAAAAATTTAAACAGACCGAAGAAATTAAGGCACTTACACAAGAATTAATTAAAACTATTAGAGATATTATAAGTATGAATCCTCTGTATCGAGAATCTCTGCAACAAATGCTTCATCAAGGACAAAGGGTGGTTGACAATCCAGTTTATCTCAGTGATCTTGGTGCTGCTTTAACAGGAGCAGATGCACAAGAATTGCAACAAGTGTTAGAGGAAATGGATGTCAGTATATCTACTTACATTTATCAAATATTATAAATATCTTGCAATAATTCTTTGTTTTGTGAAACACAGATTCTTAAAAGATTGAGATTATCGCTTGCGCTATTAAAAAAAGAATACGAATTAAGTAAACTGCAACAAAAGATTGGTAGAGAAGTCGAGGAAAAAGTAAAACAACAACATAGAAAATATATATTGCACGAGCAGTTAAAAGTCATTAAGAAAGAATTAGGTTTAGAAAAGGATGATAAAGATGCAATAGAAGAAAAATATAGGGAAAAAATAAGACAAAAAACTGTTCCCAAACCGGTTATGGATGTGTTAGAAGAAGAATTAAATAAATTAAGTTTCTTAGAGAGTCATAGTAGTGAATTTAAGTGAGTACTTTGGAAAATAACTTTATCATAAAATAGATGTTACATTTAATTTGTATTAATTGCTTTTTTTTTTTTTTTTGGTCGTGTTCAGTGTTACAAGAAATTATTTAGATTGGTTAACTTCAATGCCTTGGGGTATAACTAGTCCAGAAAATTTAAATTTACAACAAGCTGTAGAAATCTTAGACGAAGATCATTATGGAATGGAAGATATCAAAAAAAGAATACTTGGTATATTTATTTGATATTTTCTTGTAAAAATAATTACAGTAATATTTTTGTAATATGTTCTCTTGTATTTTTTAGAATTTATTGCTGTTAGCCAATTGAAAGGTTCAACTCAGGGCAAAATATTATGTTTTCATGGTCCACCTGGTGTAGGAAAAACATCAATAGCTAAATCGATAGCTCGAGCACTTAACAGAGAATATTTCAGATTTAGTGTTGGAGGAATGACAGATGTTGCAGAAATTAAAGGACATAGAAGAACATATGTAGGAGCCATGCCTGGCAAAGTTATTCAGTGCTTGAAAAAGACACAAACTGAAAATCCATTAGTGTTGATAGATGAAGTAGATAAAATTGGAAAGTTAGTATTTCAATGTGATACATAAACTTATTAAAATTATTATAAAACAATGATTTATATATTGTATAATTAATAGGGGACATCAAGGAGATCCTGCATCTGCTCTTTTAGAAATGTTGGATCCAGAACAAAATGCAAACTTCTTAGATCATTATTTGGATGTTGCAGTTGATCTATCAAAAGTTTTGTTTATATGTACGGCGAATGTAGTTGATACTATTCCAGAACCTCTTAGAGATCGAATGGAAATGATTGAAATGTCTGGTTATGTAGCAGAAGAAAAACTTGCAATAGCTAAACAATATTTAATACCACAGGCTATGAACGATTCCGGACTTAATGATACACATATCAATATGCAAGACAATTCACTTACATCTTTGATTAAATATTATTGTCGAGAATCAGGAGTTAGAAATCTTCAAAAACATATTGAAAAAATTCACCGCAAAGTGGCTTTTAAAGTTGTTAAAAAGGAAATAGACAAAGTTGATATTACCGCAACAAATTTACACGAGTTTGTAGGAAAACCAGTATTTACACAAGATAGAATGTATGAAGTTACACCACCAGGTGTAGTCATGGGTCTTGCATGGACTGCCATGGGAGGTTCGACATTATTTATAGAAACAGCTGTTCGAAAGCCTGTAAATGCAAGTAAGATGGAGGGTACATGCGAATCAACTGGTCATTTAGGAGATGTTATGAAAGAATCAATACATATAGCAATGACAGTAGCTAGAAACTTTTTAAAACAAGAAGATCCATCTAATACATTTTTATATGATTCTCATATACATTTACATGTTCCTGAAGGAGCTACTCCTAAAGATGGTCCAAGTGCGGGTGTTACTATTGCAACAGCATTAATTTCTTTAGCTAAAAATCAAGCTATTAGACAAGATGTTGCTATGACAGGTGAACTTAGTTTAATAGGAAAGGTTTTACCTGTTGGTGGTATTAAAGAAAAAACAATAGCGGTAAATAAAATCATCGAATATATTAAAAATGTTTTATGGTGTATAACAGAATATGATCTTTAACATATATTTTTCAGGCAAAAAGAGTAGGCGTTAATTGCATAATATTACCAGAAGAAAATAAAAAAGATTTCAATGATCTACCAAAATACATAACAGATGGTCTTGAGGTTCATTTTGCTTCAACATTTGAAGATGTTTATCGTATATGTTTTCTAGGACAGAAAGCTCCAACTATTGATAATGATGAAACATTTTCAAATCATGTGTCATCCAAACAACAAGCACCTTTACATGGTCAAGAGAATTGCTTATGAATATATCATAGGTTTGTATTTTGTATATCTGTTGCACTCTCTTATCGCGATTCAATTTTATATAATGTGTTTCTGACATTAATGCAAAAATTGCAGTATATTCAAAATAAGAGATATTCAATGATAATTGAGCCCCTGGCAAGTTCGTCTTTCGTTAAAAGTTGAATTGGTCATTATTACTTGATCTTTTTAAATGCAATTTTAAAACATGTATAAATATTAAAATGTGACAGATGTTGACACTATATTGGCAGATGGTAAAATTATAAAAAAAAAAAAAACAACAGAACTAGTTTGTTTCGCGTTATAGATTTTTATAATTAATATATTCATTTAATGAACGAAAGATATTCTATATATATATATATATATATACAATGATCAATATAAAATAATTAACAATATTAAATAAAAACGATGTATAATATTTGTTAAAAGAACAGTTAAAAGAAGTAAGTACGATAGTTGTTGTTGTTATCATCATCATCATTAAGATACTTATTTAATTAATATTTTTTGTGAATGTCTCTCTCAAGAAGTGAAAACATTAATTTTATAATATTTATAGATATATATATATATATTTATAATTTTTGTTTTCAATTTAATTCAAAATATGTACGAATATAATTAAAAGGTTTTCTTTGTTTGTTTGTTTTTTTTTATCTCTCAATATATTTGCTAAATAAATGTTTTTTATTTTGTACAAATTTATATATCAACTTCAACGAAATATAATGAAATTAATGCAATTTTACAAATATTTCAATGACGTTTTTATTTTCATTTCATATAATGGTGTGTTAACAATTTAATATCAGTGTATATATACATATATATATATATAATTTCTGTTTTAGTGATAATAATATGCAATTTATTAAAATGAAGATATCATTTGCTTTATAAAAACAATTTCTTGTTAAATCGTTTAAAAAACATAATATTTAATATTAAACGATAAAAAAAAAGTATATAGAAGATACAAATAGAAATATGGCCAAATGTACTTTATTTTTTTATTGCATTTCTATATATTACAAATAAAATCTAAAATATTCCATTTAATTATTTATTATCATAGAGAACACACACACATGAGCTACGTATCATTAAGTTAATATAATTGAAGAGAAATAATAAAATAAAACACATTGCTATTTAAATTGAATAATATCATATACATAATAAAAATAGCATATTTGGAAATTTGATGACAAACATTTGCAAACAAATCCAAAAATGCAAATAATGAAATAAATGTCAAATGTAACCCCATTCCTCTCTCCCTCTCCCTCTCTCTCTCTTTCTCTCTCTCTCTCTCTCTCTCATTCTTTAAGAAGATCATACTGAAGGTGCATAAAAAACAGTAGCAGTTGCAAACTAACCAAGGTTGAAAATGATCAATAAATACAGCCCCAGTGAATTAAAGAAGGGTTATCTCCATTTTGCCAATCAGCTGTAACGTGAATCACGCGAAATGAAATATTAAAAATTTAAATAAAATAAAATTAAAAAAAAAAAAACAGTTAAGAGAGAAAGAACGAGGAAGAAGAAGAAGAAGAGGGGGAGATTGTTACGAGAAATAAGAATGAATACGTATTAAACGTGTGTGTGTGTTATATATATATATATATATATATATATATATGTCGTGTATGTGATTAGTGAATACAGTGTTTATAAATGTGTAGGTGTATGTACTTATCGATCTTATCGATGTCATTAGTTCTGAGATCTTACCATTCTTAGCGGTCAACAAAAACGTTCGTAAAAACTAAAACTGCATTGTTAACGTTACCGGTAGTAATTTATTAATTTATTTCTTTTTCTTTCCTTTTTCTTTTTCTTTTTTTTTTTTTTTTTGGTCATTTGATATTCCCGTTTCCACAAAGTGTCATTAATTTCAAGAGACCATTTCCATACCAGCACGGTTCACGTCATTTTATCTATCTATCTATCTCACTCTATCTTTCTCACTTCAAACACGGATATTACGTGAATATTATGTATGTGTGTGTGTATATATATATATATGAGTATGTTATATACTATGTGTAGATTTTTTCTTTGATTTGCGGGAAAATACACTGAACTATACGCGCATGTGTGACATAGAAGAGGAACTTGTAAGTAAAAACATAAGTGTGTGATTTATACACGTGTGTGTGTGTTTTCTCTCTCTCTTTCTATCATTCTGTTATATTTGTCATCGTTCTTTCTTCTTTTTTTTTTGTTTCTCGTTACTTTCATTATTTCTTCTCTCTTTCTATTGGATGACCCATATTTTTTTAAGAGGTAAGAAAAGTAAAAAGTATTTTGTTAGAAAAAAAAAAAAAAAATATTGTATTAAATATATGAAAATGTATTATTTTATTCTTACAATATTACAAACTAACATTCTCGAAAACATTGATCGAAATGTCATTCGTCGCGGGTTTGTAAACGTTGGAAATGTTAAAGGGGGTTGAAATTTCTTCGACTGCTTTTGATTGGTCAATGAGAGTTGACCAATCAGACGTTGAGATGCTTGAATTTTGGTTATATGACAGATGAATGATACAACACACTTGTTGCTAATGGTTGATTCATATCGAAGATAAGATTTGGCTTATTCAAATTATCATTGTCAATTGTCTGTGACTCCATAAAGAAAAAGGTATATTTAATATTTCATAAATTAATATTACTTTATTTTCTTTTTTATTCATTTTTATTATTTTTTTTTTTTGTTAATTTACGAAATGTATGTATACTATAGGATGAGTTGAAAAGTTTTAAGCCTAGCATTTTCGATCAAACTAACTTTTATTTAAAAAAACAAAAAAAATAAGAATGTGTGTTTGTATTGAGATTGAAAATTTGTTAACTCATCCTTGTAATATGTAAATTAACAAAATTGTTCAGATTATTTGTCATAATAATACTTTAGAATGTATTTCGCGTAGCGTTAAATCAAATTAAATGCAAGGGATTGTGGGTCAGTGACTTTAAAACGATTGAACTCGTTTGCAGAAAATTAAATCTAATGTGTGACAAATGATTTATACTCGTCATAAATATATTAAAGTCTACTATGAATATATTGTATCATTGATATTTTTTTTTTATTTAAATATCAAAAAATCTGATAACACAAATTTATATATATATATATATATATGTTCGTGTACGTGAGTTTAGATTGTAATGATATCATTGAGTAGAAAATTTCAAATAAAAATAACAAACTTTTAATAATCCATTATCATCATAAATTGCATAGAAAAACATCTGTCAAATATTTACATACTCGTAAAAATAATGTTACGAAATTGAAATGGAAACAAGTGTATGTTTAGTAACTCATTGTCAGTATTTACCTTTCAGTAGTCGAGTATCTTTAGAGGTGTTAAGTCACAAATCAATTAGAATACTTTAGAGATATATTTTTAGTTCAAGGTTCTACTTTTTTTTTTTTTTTTTTTTTTAATTAATATTATTTTTTTTGTCATGAATATTCTTGTCAAAAACAATTGACAAAATTAAACAGATCCGTTGAATAATCATCTATCTCTCTCTCTCTCTCTCTCTCTTTCTCGTTTGTGCAATTTGATTAATTTCGTAGGCGGGAAAATATGAAGAACGCGCGATAGTGATAATAATATATATAGTGTGTCTTGAATGTATGTAATTTTCAAGTTAAACCACATATATTATGATTAAGAAATTCTCTTTGAACGCGTACTTCTGATCAAACTGAACTACTATCTTTCATTCAGTCTCAAGCGTTAGAGTTATAAAGAAGAATTACGAAGTAACTTGCTACGAATGAACGAAGACATTATTCTAAATTGTAAGAATTCCATATTACATGTTTTCGATATATTAAGAATGTGTTTTATTATTCGATAAAACAATATTAACAAATGTCAAATTAATTTCTCATTTGGATATATATTCGTATTTTATTTCAATATTTATCAAGCAAAAATAGTAATACGTTATTAATTAACATATATAAATTCATACAAATTCCAATATAATACAATTCATAATAATACAAATTATTAATAAAAATTAATACAAATTACTTATTGATCAATGCAACAAATTAAACACGTTACATATCAATTTTATTATACATATATATGTATATATGTTAAATAATCACAAGTATTTCTTTTTTTGCATGAGTACACACACTTACACGCATACTTTATTAAGAATCGATTTTTTATTTAATACATACGATAATAATCGATTTAAATTGATCTCATAGTAATATCACTTTTTATTTACTCTTATCATTGTGAAACAACGTTTCTACTATCTCAGTTATGAAAGTATGGTTTACAAGAAGATAAGGCTTATATCGTTTATATTTCCATTGTTCATTATGATTCTCTTTCTAAGCTAATTCGATTTAAAAAAAACAAAAAAAAAACAAATGTTTCCTTTTTTATTTCAGAAATTGAATAATATCGAAAGTTTAATAGTGAAAGATCATTTTGATGATCAATGTGGATGATCCGCGCTTTGTTATATATTGTATATCAAACATATTGTTAAGTGATGTATGAGAAGTGTTAAAATATGCCATTGCATTTAATATTTTTAATTATATGGAGTTTTGTGATAGAAGAAGGATTATGTATCACATTGAAGAGAGTTGCTTTACAACCGTCCAACACATTAGACGATTATTATGCTTATCGTCATATCTCAATCATTCATTTCGATGTACCAGAATATTCAATAACTGCGGGATTCAAGTAAGATTTTATTTCATATTCATTATTTCTAATGTAAAAACAAAACGAATGACAATAAGATTTTTATTAACCGATTTGCATTAATCCAACGTTTCGATGATACTTACGTATGACCGCAACCGCAGGAAAATTCCGCTAATGCGCAAATCTACACTGAAAACCTGAAGAAAACATGACGAAACCCTGACGAAACCCTGACGAAACCCTAACGAAACCCTAACGAAACCCTGACGAAACCCTGACGGTTGCGATACATAAGTACCGTTTCGATTTATCGAGATATCTGTTTGTATGAATCCTCGGATGTAAAGTCTGACGATTGTTCATGATTTAATTGAATGAAATAATTAAATACACTGACGTGTTTACATTTATTATTATAGATTTACAGTAAAAGAAGAAAAAACCGGTGGTATAGGTAAATGTTCAGCAAGAAATGTTTCATTGTATTTGAAATCCGGTAGTATACCATTAATTCGTCCAGACGGATCGATTATCGAGGCTAAACTTATGAAAAGAAGACGCAAACACTATGCTTTAAATATTCAAAGTAATGGTGACGAACATATGATTACTATCGATTCACCAATACCAGGTGACTGGTATATAATTGCTTTTCGAAGTTGGACCGATCCTAATAGCGACAAGATTAAACAGCAAGGTGAATATTATTGTACTTTGTTTTCTTCTATATTAATATATAATTATAAATGTTAATTAATTAAATAACATTTATTTAGGTCTCGGTGCATCATGTGATACTGTTCTCGATGCTGAGTTGTTAATTGAGATGCCATCAGTGATATCATTTATAGAATTTAACAAAGATTATGAAATCGTATTAAACAAAAATACAGATACTTCAGTAGCACAAATTTCAATGCCAAATAATTTATTAAACGCTGTATTAGCGTTGAATCAATCCTGCGAAGAGAATTGTAAATTTGCAATACATATTGTTGCTCAGGAACATATTACAGGACAGATCGTTAACGATACAGATACTTTGATCCCATTCAAGCCTTATTCAAAAACATTCCATTATATTACACTTCGTTTACTTTCTGGAAATATGACCAGTATTTTTTTACGATTTGAAAAGGACACTACTTCGTTCGTTGAAACTAATCAAGTTAAATGTTTAAATCTTATAAGAAAATCATTGCCAGAGTTTTTTCTTTTTGATTACGAACATCGTGGTGAAAACGATACGAAGGCTGTACCATTTAATTTAACCAACGATGGTATTACGGTTCTTGATTTTGAAATTGGCCGAGTTTACGATGTTGGCGGTACAGTAACAGTGAAAATAAAAATGCTTGATGTGGATAAAAAGGATGAAAAAAATGTTTTCGTCGTAGCTTGCATTAATTTGGGTTAGTATTATTTTTAATCTTTATTATCTTGAAAATAGTATTAATAGATTTGACGATAATTAATATTGAATATTTTACTATGATACACGATCGGTTAGAAGTTTTTTTAGTTTGTTATTATTGAATGTATAACTAACAATATATGAATACATGAATGACTAATATTTATTCAGGATATTACTCGAATATCACTGCCGGTGGAAGTTGCATACGAGCACAAAATGTAACTGGGGCAGACATATATGCAAACGAGACGGCACCGGCTCATATTCATATACCATTTCCCGAACCTGGAAGGTGGTACGTCACTTTAAAATCATTTAGCATCGAGGGAAAGTGTAATTGTGCTGAGAATTGTTTGAACGGTACTATCATCTGTCAAGAATGCGAATGTATGATACCGTGTTCTGTTAAAATAGAGACCAGTATATCTTCGTCACCTTGCATCGAAGGACGTTGTAATTCACATGGAAAATGTATGCATTACATGAGCGGTGGTTTTGTCTTTGCAGCTTGTTATTGTACAGAAGGATATCGTGGTTTTGATTGTGCCGATGGAACATACGTTCTCGGTAACAAAGACATACTAGTACGTTGTTTGATGTTAACCATTAGCAATCTTGCCTTCATTGGTTCGATTTACTTAGCAATACGTCGAGAATATTTTACAGAAGCTATCGTATATACAGCCGTAATGTTCTTCTCAACATTTTATCATGCCTGCGAAGCTGGAGAAAATGTTTACAGTATTTGTATAATGCGATTGAGCGTATTACAATTCTGCGATTTTTTCAACGCACTTCTTTCCATTTGGGTTACATTGGTAGCAATGGCTTCCTTTGGACCAAAGCTCACAGCATTTTTCCAGATACTGGGTGCAATTGTTCTTGCTATGAGCTCAGAAATGGATCGTACTGCACTTTGGGTATTCCTTTTACCAGCCATCACTGGATCTTCTTTAATTGGATTATCTTGGGGACTTACATGTAAAAGAAGAAAAACTGTTCGATATCCTTCACGCGTTTACAGGTGTGTATTTTAATTAGTGTTTTTTTTCTTTTTTTTTAAATAATATAATAATGATTGACCTTTTCATTTTGTTATTGACAGAACCATCTACTTTCCGGCGGGTCTTCTCATAGTCTCTTTGGGTCTTGTTTGCTATGCCTTTTTACAAACGCGTAGTAATTATCACATTGTTCATAGTTTGTGGCATATTTGCGTGGCCGTTGCGGTTATGCTTTTATTACCAAAAAAACATTATATGAAATAAATATGTTTTTAGTAAATACATTTCAAATTCAGGGATCATAAATGATAGATATGTGTGCATGTATAATAATCGTACGATACTTGTACGTATTTATTATCCTAGAAAATATTGATCTGAATTTGTCTCATGATCAATTGTGTATATTATATTAATTATTTTAATCAAACAAAACAAAACAAAAAAGAAAAGAAAAGAAAACTGTTATTCTTGTAAAACGAACCTCTATACATACGGCATTACATTTTTCCACAAGAATAGTTTATAAATATGTAATATATACATGGTGTATCCTCATGGGGGGTGGGGGTGGTACAACGAAGCAGGGGATGATTCAACGTGTAAAAATAAATCGTAACATTTTTACTTTTGAGATGATACCAGCTTCGGGATACACTCTGTATATATAAATATATACATATATATATATATATAAGAAATTTGAAAGGACATTTAAACGAATGCAATAATATACAGTATCAAAAGCAATTATTCTAACAGTATTATTTAGTTAACATATTCGCATTTCAATGCAAAACAAAATTTAAACATAAAATCCAAATATAAATCTTTCTATCAATTTTTATTAAAAATATATGGCAAAGCATATATGTTATTTATAAAAGCAAAATTATTATAAAAACATTATTAGAAAGTTGAAACATATAACTTGTGCTTTTACTGACATAGAATTATTGTTATTTAGGATTGTAAGTAAATGACTTTTGAAGATTCATTCACAAATCATATTACATTTAAAAGATAATGTTTGAATTTTCTATTAATATATTATTTAATTATTATTTATATGTGAGACAGTGATTTAATTTGCATCATGTAGGAATCAAAACCTCGCACATATGTAAAAATTATTATTTATTATAATAACATTATATTATTATATATATATATATAGACGCGCATATAATTTTGAACAAATGTACACATACACACATGCATTACATATATATGTATATGTACATTAATAAGTCAATTTCATGAATATAGTATAGATAGATAAAAAATATTGAAAAGAAATGAACAAACAGAATTATATATATATATAGAAACGTGTATATTACAGGTACATGAATTACATATGTATTTTTAATATGTATCTTTTAAATTGAACAATTCTCTAGTCGACTCTATTGTTCTTGTCTGAACTATTGTTGATAGTTTTTTTTTTATGTCTGACAACAAAAACAACAACAGAAAGAAAAAAAAACCATTACATATTTACAGTGCACGAATCAATGCATGAAAAGTTACAGTACTATTTATGATATATCATGGCAGGAACACATTTCTTCTTTATTGTATGTAAATATGTAATCTACCAAAGATTGTTTAATTGATCGTGAAAATTAATTGATAAAATGGAGAATATTAAAAAACAAACAAAACAAAACAAAACAAAAATGAAAATAAATATGTTGTTTATTTGTTAGAGTTGTCTCTGTTGCTTTTTTCTTTTTTCTTCTTCAATGTTGCAAATAGAAATAAGTGTGTGTAACAAATGATGAAGATAATTACATTTATTTAAACTAATTAATAATAATATGAGTTTATAATTATAAAGATGAAGATGTTGTTGATGATGCATTTCGTAAATTAGTTGAAGAAGAGACAGCAGTAATAACATTTGATAAAAGTGATAACATTGTTTCCAAAGAAAAACCACAATGGGGATAAGAATATGAACAATTTTTACCAGAACGACCAGCTTCTACAGCTTCTTGTATAGCTGTACCCTGCATTGCTGTTCGAAATACTTGATTGGTAGTTATCGCATCGATCATTTTATCAAAAGATGATATTTTGTCATCTTCATTATCTTCGTCAGCTACTTTTACAGCTGCAGCCGCTTGCTGAGAATATGTACAAACTGCACGTTGCATACAAGAAGTTGTATCTATACCATGACGAGCCAATGCGTCGTCCAATTTAGTCATGGATTGTGCAAAACCATTTTCTTCGCCTATGTGTAAAAGAATATTTGTCAATTGTTACAAATTATATTATAATATTTAATGTTTAATTGAAATATTATATTATACAAAAAAAATACTTACTTCTCGCATAATTTCCGTAGGTACCTGACAGAACGTATAATAATTTTGGAATGATAAGAATGGAACCAACTCCAATGATAGCACCTAACAAAAGTCCACCCAAGTCAATTTTTGCTGGTGCATAAGGTGATACTGCATAACCCTACAAATCGAAATGAACGTTGAATCTTTCACGTGGTTTAAATATCTATTTGAAGTTTAGAATTATTGAAATAGAAAAGTGTATTAATTGTATACTAATCTTGTGCTTACAGAACCAGAACTGCCGATATTGGTGAAACCAAATCTAGCTTCTTGATTACGATCAGAGATATCATTAATCGTAGTATCTCCACGTTTCGTTGATGCATCAGTTCGAACTTCAGCTTGTGATGGCATAGCTATTTGATCCTGTGCCTTTCCAGCTTTTTCCATGTAAGCTATAGAACTTGGTATAAAACTGTTAGAAATCAAAAAAAAATAATTAAGAAATTATGTTAAATGTAATGTTATAATATTATAACAATTAATATGTGTTACCCTCTGTCGTCATATTTAGGTACACAATTTGCACGAACTGCCAGAAATGTTAATATCATTATGATATTATTTTTAAAACTGTATTTCAACATCTGTAACAATGAAGAAGAAATGAGTATATACATGTTTTGTATTGATTAATTATTAATGTATTTTTGAAGTTTACCTTGAAAGTAAATAATCTAAAATAATTCATTCACAGATTAGAAGAAAGAAAGAAAGAAAGAAAGAAAGAAAAAAAAATGATGAATTTTTAGCAGATGCTTATACGAAATGCTTTCACTAGCAACTGTGAAAATAAGACACTGTTACTGACATATATAGTTCTGCACCACCCTTTGTGAACATGACAAATCGTCGACATAATTGCAGTACGGTGGTTTCGCTTTCATTGTTAGATTTCCATAGGAGGATATTATCACGATGCGTGACGTTCTACTGACTCTTCGCGTCATTCTTTTAGTAAATAAGTATACACTGTATATAGGTATACCCTTTTGTCAACGAAGTAACTCTTCTTTAGTATTGTTATTGTTACAGGTCACTCTTCCCGAAATTCTGAGTACTTTCGAAGCTGAAATAATTAGTCTTTTGCAATGTTAATTGCTCGATTACTGATCTTCAGTTTCAACTTTACCGTTCTAAATAAATTATGTATTTTACTTTTCTTTTTCCTTTTTTTTTTTTTTTTTTAACCATCAACTATATCACATATAATAAGGTAATACTTATTTTTATTTATTATATCAGTATTATAATATAAATAATAATTATATACTTTTCATAGTATAAATATTAGAAGAGCTTTATGAGATACATCAAATACCAGGAAGATGTCTGTAATTTTGTTGCTACCGTTGAAAAGTTTCGATTTTAGATATTGTTTCAAGGTAAACAATTGTAAAGTGAGAAAGTGGATACACTTTGGAGTAATATAACGACAGTGAAAAGAAAACTAGCGTTTGGACATTTCATAGATTTTTATTATTATTATTATATATATATATATACATCTGTCTTTTCAGAATGGAATTCGTTCTGGACGTTGGTTAGGAAAATTTTCGAAAGTTACGCGAAAGGCACGGGCATGATGAGCCTGCTTAATTGGACAAATTGTCTTTGAGTACACGTAAGAAGACTATATTTTTATATTGTTTTGTTTTTTTCGTATACTTTTCTTCCTATCCAAGTGAAAACAATAGTATTGCTTTATCAAATTTGAATATACATTTATGAGAATAAGCGTATATTTATGTTAACTTTATAAAAACATAATTATAAGAAAGAGAAATGTATTTAAGAAACTTATAAAAATATATATATAATGATGTACGCGTAGACAATAATTCTTAATGATAAATAACACGACATAATAATTGCTAATGTACAGAGTAATTTGGTTTGTCATTCTTCCTAGGTTCGTTAATTCTATAAGAGAAAAAGGAATTTCCTGCTTGTCGTAGGGGTGGGCTAGACATTATACATATTCTGCCAGCTAAGGTAGAACCCGACTTTGTAAGAAACTGTCCATCAATGTCATCGTGTTTAATAAAAATAAGCTGATATATTTAAACTAAATTCAACTATTTATAATTTATCATATATATAATTTCGTTTTTGTTTTGTTTTACCAATATAGTGTAAGTATTTACTTTCATTTGTAATATATGTATATTTATAAATGATGTGAAGTGAAGTGTGTTTGTCAAGTTAATCCAAATTGTTTTTGTTCATGAAAGTGAATGATAATATTATTTTTTACTAATTAATTAAAATGTTCATTAGGAATTATACGATATCAAAGATTTCTTCTGCAATGAATTTAACAATCGTACTCGTATTTTTTATCATACAATTAACAATGGCCGATTATATATCGGCTGGTTCCGGTAAAGGAAAGATTTCCAAAATGAAGAATCCATTTGTTGGTCATTCGAAACCTAAATTTATTTCGTTCGATGCTGAAGAAGCAAATATCGATGTAAGTTAGTTTAAAAAAATGAATTATTATTTTATATTTAATATATATATATAAAATATTATTAATTTATTAAATGATATTTGATTTATTTTTCAAATTTTCTTAGATCAGTTGGGACGTATCCATACCATTCATTTCTATTCCATTGCAAGAAAAAATGGATGAAGATAATAAAGAAAAATCACCAAAGTTATTCAATGTTAATACAAAAGCATTAACAATTGCTGGAATAATAACGGGAATTTCTTCTTTAGTTGTACCATTATTTTCAAAACCCGTGAGACCGCCATTGCAATCTCAATCGCATTATCGTTCGTTGATCAGATTTTTCTTATTTAATATTATAAAATACCAATGAGATAATAATAACAATAATAATCATATAAATATTTGTGAACATTTTTTAGGAACGGACGATGGAATGGAATGGTCAACGATGGGTAATACAATTAATGAAATGATTTTTTCCAATAATTATGTAGCACCTTGTATGCAACGCATTGTTTGTTCGATTGTATCAACTGCCAGTCGTACAGATAATCCTACGAGTACAGAAAAAATTATCGATGGATTGTCAAGGTATCATTTTTAAATTGAAATCATTTCTAAAAAAAGAAATATTCATATTTAGTATTAATCAATAATTTTTATTATTGTATGTTTTGATTGATCATCGTAGTCATAAATGGTTCCGAGATGCGACAAATGGAACACTTATCGAGGATGCCGTTTCGGTAGGTCGAGATGATAATCGTGATTGTACGCGTGTTTATAAAAATTGTTTGATAACGCCGAGACTTTTGAACAATTTAATGAGTCAATTCGGAATAATGTGATATGATTAAAATATAACAGAGAGAGAAAAAAAAAAAGACAAAAGAAATGCGATACCATTTGCATGTAATTAGAATTATCTATCTTCGGTGAAAATGTCATATTTTCAGACAAAAATTAGATACACAGTTGAAGAATATTTATCAATTAATAATATTTGAGGTGAGGCAAATTTCTTACCCATGTTTTTTTCTTTTTTATCTATTTTTGAATAAATGATAAAAACGTTAGATCGTAAGATTGTTATCGTTAAGATTTTACATTTGATTAGATCGATATTATTTAATCTATATTCGAATGTGTATAATGAAATTAATGTTACGCGTAGTATCTATTTAAAAAAAAAATAAAATGCTAATTATGTCATTATCATTAATAATAGATGAATAGACAACAAAAGAAAAACAAAAATTGATATTTAGTTGTAAAATGTTTACTAATATTTTTCTACCATTTCAATTTGCCACTCCCAGTGTAGAATAGTTTCAAGGCTTATCGCCATGATGCGACAGTTAATAAGTGCACGTGATTGGATACGATCGTATGAAAAGATCCAATCATCTTAAAGATGTATTATCGTTGTTTCGTTATTGGTTCATACATATATATATATATATATATACATATAACTGATTCCAGTTGATTCATAAATTTATCGAAACCAATCGAAAGCTCTCACTATCGTCATTCGTATTTATCGAGATATTCGACATTCGGAAGTTGAACTTTTTCGTCCAGTATATAGAGTGTATCATACTGGATGAAAGATATTATTCTCCAAATGTCAATTTTTATACCTCCTTGTCATTTTAATAATAGTTGATGTTATTAACATCGACAATTTGACGAGTATAATTAATGTGTAATCTATGGAATATAACGTAGTAATACACGTTTAAAAGTGTACAGACGTTCTTATGGATTATCAAGAAGGCATGTTTGACATCACAGAAACGACTAGTGTTCCGTTTTAGGTAAATACATATCTACGAAAGAGTTAATTAACACTCATCCAACTTACACATATTTAGATTTAAACATTATTCTATTCAAATATGATTTTTCATTATATGAAGTGTTATCTTTAAAGAAGATAACAACTGTAACCTAATTTTCTAACTCTTTACCATATAATATAGTGACACCCGCGCCCATTATTAAATATATAATAACAGAATCATTGTTATGTTTATTATATTTTGTATTATCAAATAATTGGATATAATAACTATTGTCAATGTTAAATGTCAATATTAATTTATCTTCTTCTTCTTCTTCTTCTTAATTTGTCAAAAATTGTATTATTATCATGATCATATTTGAAAGGAAAAATATAAGAAGAAAATTGTAATATAAAATGATATTTCTCTATTGTGTTGATGTATAGTAGAAAGAAATAAAAAAAAAAATGCCGACACCACCACCACCATTACCTCCTGCCCTTACTGCATCTGCACCTGCACCTGTGTCAGGAGAACAAAATAGGAGTTTATTGCTACAGTCAATTAGAGAAGGAAAAGCTCTAAGGAAGACAGTTACGGTAGATAAAAGCGCACCTGCTATAAGTGGTACGCTTTAATTTGAAGATGAATTTTTTTTTATATTAATCTACTATTCAAATAAATCTAAATATATTACATATTGATTTAATTTGTAGGTAAAGTCAAGGGTGATTCGACTTCTACAACTTCTGGCAGTAGTGGTAACAATGGCCCTAATGCATTCAATAGTAGTATTGCTAATAATAACAATAGCGGACCAATAGGCCTAGGTGGATTATTTTCAAGTGGTATGCCAAAGTTAAAGCCAACGGGTCTTAGGGGAAACACTATTGAAAAGGATTCACATAATACCACTAATAACAGTAATTTTTCTAATACGACTGGTAGTTTGAATCAAAATGTTAAAAGAGGGCCTCCACCAGTTCCACCTCCAGCTACACAGAAACCACAAGTATTTCCTCAAGTATGATTATTAAACCTCTTATTATTTTGAATAAAGTGTAAATGTTTTCTGTGTTAATATTAATTATATTATACAGGTATCTGGCGGTTCAGATTCAACTAATTCTAATCCAGATGGACATAAAGGATTTGGCAAACCAACACTCGCACCTAAACCACCACCACCATCCACAGCTCCTCAGAAACCATCGCCACCTCCTAAGAAATTAAGTTTAACAAGTTCCGGGAGTGTCTCAAGAGCACAAAGTATGAGGTTACCCAGGTCTCCGCCTGTTCTTGCTCCAACACCGCCATCCCTTCATCAATCGCAGGATTGTTTAAATGAACCACAATCAAGACCCACGAATCGTGTTCTTAGACCACCTATTGCTAGACCTCCTTCTCCTCCAATATCCAAAGCAACATCTTCGATGGTGATAACAAGAGCAGCACCGCCACCACCTTCCAGAGTAACAGTTACAGCGCCTTGTATTCCTCCACCACCTCCACCCCTTCCACATCGACCTCCGACTCACCAAAGATTGGCTGCACCTCCACCTCCACCACCAACACCTCCTACAAGGGGTTCATCAATGAGAAATGGACAAGCTACTAATTCTAATCTTGATTTGGAGATAAGATTTGCTGAAATGTTTCATTCTGTATCGAGTTTTCCACCACCAGAACCTTTTAGAGGATTTACAAAGATCTACAGCAGCAGAAATGGTGAGAATAATAGTAAAAATAAATTTACTACGCTCAAAAAATTAAATGTTAAACAACAAATATCTGATATGTTTGTTTGATGCTGCTCATTATGCAATATTTTTTGTTTTCATATTTATTCATTATATTGGGAATAATCTTTATAATTAATATATTTCATTAATAATTCTTTTTTTTTTTTTATATATATATACAATAACTATAAAGCATTTACTTATTTACATGTTTGTACATTTTTGAACTAATAATACATCGAGAAAGTGTGATTCATTCACTAATCAAGGACTATCTTGCATGCACTTGAGTTCATTGGGTTATAGTTGGATTTATTGATAACTGTGCCAACTATTTTTTAAAAATGAATGTTATGTTAGTACAATTATTAGTTTATTTAAAAAAAAAAAAAAAGAAGTATTACACAGGGCTGCTTTTATCGTCATTGATTTATTCAAAGCTTCGTCGTATCTTTATTCATACTGTTGTATTTTAAATGAAAATAAATTTCATTTATATATATTATATACATTATAATCAATCGAAGATCTTCGCAATTAACGCGTTAATAATCAATCATGTCATAGCATGACTAAAACATATAACTATTTATGTATAATATAATTTAATACAGATTTTGTGTAAATAGTTGCTACATAATTTCTCTATGTAAAATTGCATGCTGCATGTATATTATTATCTATGTATATATAACATTGGTATAGTTTTATATGAAAAAAAAAAAAAAAGTATATATATATATATGTACTAAATTAATATATATAATTATATATATAAAAGATATAATAAAAACAAATAATTATATAAATATATATAAAAAATTNCTATTTATGTATAATATAATTTAATACAGATTTTGTGTAAATAGTTGCTACATAATTTCTCTATGTAAAATTGCATGCTGCATGTATATTATTATATATGTACTAAATTAATATATATAATTATATATATAAAAGATATAATAAAAACAAATAATTATATAAATATATATAAAAAATTACAGCTGCAAAGCAACAGGCTCCGGCACCGCCTCAACAAACATCTAATCCAAATACAATACTTCCCTTAAGTGTATCGTCTAGTAACAGTGGCAATACAATGCAACAAACGTGGCATGTTAAAAACTTTTAGTTATCTCTAAGTTTTATCATTTTGTTTATAAAACAAAACAACAACAACAAAAAAATGAAATGAAATGAAATGAAATGAAATGAAAAGAAAAGGAAGAAAAGGTCAGCATTTAATATTGTCTTACACATCCAAGAAAATAGTAAATGTGTGTGAATACATAGAAAAATTGTGTTTGCAAAGAATCTAAGTTATTGTTATTGAAAGTGTATTTTGAAGGTCTATTTAGAGTTGTAATTATAATTAAATTTAACAGAGATGAAACAAAACTGAAGACTATAGTTGTAACATAATCATTGACACAAAAAAAAAAAAAATATATATATATATATATATATAATTTTATTCAAACATAAATACATATTACAATCATGTTCTGATATTTGAAATCACTTTATAAAAAAAAAATTAAAAAGGTTTTTATGTAATATTTAAATATATATTACTGTGTCAGACTTTGAATTTTTCTATGGTTTCAATTTGATGATGAATGATTACAACATTATGTGTGTCAGACGACATTTTGTTTATGACAAATTTATCAATGCACAAAAAAAAGAAAAATGATTTCATATTATAAATATGATTAATAAATAATAGGTATATATATATATATATATATATATATATTTAAGTTGAAACTAACATGAGATCATTAAACTTGTTAAAATAATGTTGGAAAAAAAAGAAAAACAAACACACAATTGCAACAATAAGTATTAATGCAAACCTAATAATTGTTAAGAAAAAAAAAAAAAAAGAAAAAAAAAGTTCATATATACCTACGTATTATGTTGTAACATTATTTAAAAAAAAAAAAACAAAAAAAAAATATAAAATGTTACATATTTTTATTTCTATCAACAGTTTCTCATAATCCATTATATCATATTGTATATACATTTTCATAGCAAACAATTTATGATATGTAAGTATAACCAGGCAGTAAACAATTAAACTGAGGACAAGTATCTTAGTTATATTCAAAAAAAAAAAAATTAATATTTATATATACATATATACATATATATATATATATTGAGAAGTAAATGAAAATTATTTTTTTATCTCTAGATAAAAAAAAAACTTTTCTCTTAGAAAATTTCATTATATAATATTATAAACAAAAAAAATGACTACAATTTTATATGATATATAATAAAACTCATATAAAAAAAAAAAAAATAGAAGTTCTCGATAGGAAAATTATAAAAAAAAAAAATGCATTCGATTACGATTGTGTACATTCAGTATTTGAAAATAATTCGAATAATGTAAAATATATTTTGAAAGATTCAACACAAACATTGAAAAGTAAAGACTGTTATATTGTGTTGTGTTTATATATATATATATATAAATAATAATATATTTAATTTATTCAATTTTGTGTCATAGAATGTGAAAAATATCAAATATTCAATTCGCGATTTAAAAAAAAAAAAAAAAACGAATCCTCCATGAATAAAAATGCAAATGAATTGGAAGTACTGAATTGTGGATTAAATCAAAATAAATTAAATTAAAACCAAGGTAGAGATGGATATGAGGAGGAGGAGGAGGAGGAGGAGGAGGGAGGGACGATATATATATATATATATATATATATATGAATTTAATTAACGCGATTATTTTCTAAAATTTTTCATAACATTGCATTATTTAATACAAGGTAGCATAAGGTAATTTGTAAGATCGAAAACATATAAACAAAATCAAATAAGTTTTTATACTTCAAGCTCTTTTTCAATAATCCTACGATATTCATCAAAACCTCCTTCAATGCACCGAACTGATCCTTCACCACAGACCCATAATTCTGTACAAACCATGCGTATTAGTCGTTCGTCGTGCGATACTAAAATTACTCCAGCCTAAAAAAAAAAAAAAAGGAATAATATAAATCGTATTGACGAATATTTTACCCATATAATAATAATAATAAATCATTGATAATCTTATCAAAATTTTACTTGACAAGTGTTGAGAGCTTTTCCTAATGCTTCTATTGATTCTATATCCAAATGATTAGTAGGTTCATCAAGAACTAAAAAGTTAGGCATTGCAGCGCACATTAAAGCAAAAGCTACCCTTGATTTTTGACCTCCTGATAAAGAATTGATCGTTTGCAATGCCAAATCACCGCTTATGCCAAAACTACCAAGCATACGTCTGTATTCTTCGATTGGTTTACCTAGAAAGAAATAATATCAAAAATCTAATTAATTGTGCGAGATTGAAATAGGATTATATATATATATATATATATATATATATATATATATACTGTTGTATAATTGTCACATACCTGGGAAATGATTTTGCAATAATTCTACAGGACATACGCGCATATCTAATTGATCAACATGATGTTGACTAAAATATCCAAATTTCAAGTTACGATGTACGTGTACTGTGCCACGAGTTGGACTCAAAGCACCTGTTATTATTTTTAATAATGTAGTTTTACCAGCACCGTTTTCACCCACAATACAAATACGCGATTGTAAGCTTGCTGTAAGATTGACATCAGTGAAAACGTATGAATTATCTTTTCCACTCTCATAACGAAATGAAACTTCATTTAACTGTAGTATTGGAGGACTTAATGGTTCGACATCGGGGAATCGTAATGTTACTTCTCCTTCCTTTTCCATGGGTTTCAATTCTGGTCTATAAAATAGAAAGAAAAGAAAAAAAAAACAGAAATATATTTGTAAAATAGATATTATAATCATAAACTAAATGTTGTTATCATATTTAGAAGAATCTTACAATTTTTCCAACATTTTAATTTTACTCTGTACGCTAGAGGCACGGTTGGCATTGTAACGAAAGCGATCAATGAATTCTTGCACGTGGGCTCTTTTAGCTTGTTGAGCTTCATATTCTCTTTGTTGATTTCGCTCACGTTCGCCTTTAGTTTTAGAAAATTGTTCATAATTACCGCGATATGCCTCTATCTTTTGACCTCGTAAATATAGGATATCTGTTGGTACCTATTATTATAGATAAAAACAATTAAGTAAATATATGATATAAGAAAAATAAATGACATCGTTAAAAATATACACACGGTATCCAAAAAGTTTCTGTCATGAGAAACAACAAGTAGAGTTGTTGGCCAAGATTGCAAATATTTTTCTAGCCAAAGTATAGCTTTAATATCAAGCATGTTCGTCGGTTCATCGAGTAATAAAAGATCTGGTCTAGAAAAGAGTGCTCTTGCAAGGGCAAGTCTCATCCTCCAACCACCGGAAAACGCTTTGGTAGGCCATGACTGTCGTTCGACGGAAAATCCAAGTCCAGATAATATTGCACTTGCTCTAGCCGGTGATTTATCAACTTCAGCCAATTGCATAGCTTCATATATTCGAGCTAATTCTTCTCCTAATAGATCACTCGCCTTACCACCATCTTTTTCTATCGCAGCTTGTAATTCTGCTTCTCGGCTTAACAAAGTGCTTCTTTCTTGATCACATTCTAACACTGATTCAAGAGCTGACGTTTCATCACCAGCTACTTCTTGCTCTACATGTAGAACTCGTACGTGAGATGGTATTCTAAGTTGTTTACTAATAAATGAAGAATCATTCATTTGAATTATTATACACATTCGTTTCATTAATTATAATACACATTAATAATATTATTAATTGTTTATTATTACCTTGAAATCATTCGAAGTAAAGTGGTTTTACCCAAACCATTTCTACCAATTAAACCATAGCGCCTACCAAATGCAAGAGTTAAATCAGCACCTTGTAATAATACTCTATCTCCATATGCAACATCAAAATTTTCTATTCTGATGTCTTGTGTTTTATTTACTCCACCTTTGGTTTCCATTCTACTATCTTTTTTACTAGTCATTTGACTAGCACTTGCAGATTCTGTAGCTTGGCTTACATTATTGTTACGTCCTGACAAACCCAATTCATTGATAACCCTTTTCTCTTGTTTCTGTTGTAACTTAGCTTCTGCCTTTTCTAATTTTTTAGCATCCACTTTCTATCGTAAAAAAAAAAAATCATATATAATTATTATTGAAATGACAATTTGATTCTAATCAAAAATTGTTAAATAATGAATTACCGTGCCATCATCTCTTGTGGTTACCCATATACTTTTAATTTGTTCTACATGTGCTTCCAAAGTAGCAGCCATTGCTCCTAGATGTATGGGAGCATTTAATACTTTATTTGCACCATTTTTTCTTCTGTTAACTTGTCCTTGTGTATTACCTTTTAACATTTCTAGTAACTTCACACATATTTTTCTGTATAAAAAAGAAAAAAAGACAATACTTCATATTTCTTGTATGTTTGAAATTTTTTAAATATATCATTCAAACGTGTGCACATATATATATATGAAATTTAATATTATTTTACTATATAAATCATTCCACATACCATTTGCATAAAAATGCAGTTTATTTTTAACACGTCATAAATTATCATATTTCCAAGAATCACAATTCAAACGAATTCTTAGACATCTATAATTAAAACTTACCTCATAATAATTAAAATTTTTTGATTAGGAAAATAAAATAAAAATAATTAAATAAATAAATAAATGTAACAATTTTCAAACAAAATAATAGAATAATTGAAATGTAACGTCTACAATATTTCCATTAAAACATATTCAAATCTAATTCTATAAAAAAATGATTGAAATGGATTGTGTAAATACGAGTTTTACAGACCTAACCTCGTTTACTGGTTTATCATCTACTTCATGTAAAATTTCCCCAATAGCATCATAAATCTCATCACCGTTTTCAAACTCATCTTTGGAACTATCTAAAATACCTGTTTAAATAAAGTAAATAATAAATGACAATCATATCGTAAACTTTTGTAAAGGTACATTTTTTGTATTCTTAGGTTAATCAGTTGAAATGTACCTTTTACATATTGATACAAATGATCATCTATAGTTGGAAATTGAATACGAATATATTCACTATACGTTGTCATATTAGCCGATATATATTTGTAGGAATATTTAAATATAAATCTCCTACTAATAAATTAGAATAAACGCCTTGATTGACGGACCAAACGTTAAACGTTCCTTTGATCTTCATGAACACATGTTTACGCCATTTTGAATTTGAATACTGTCGTCGATAGATCGATTCGAGTTGGTTGACTTTTTGTTAGAAAAAAAAAAAAAAGTATTATTTTATCGCGTTAATTTAATTAAATGATTATTAGAAATAATTGAATGATATTAAATTGATATCAATGGAAAACATTGCCTTTATTAATAATCTTTTCTATAGGAATTCTATATATATTAAGCAGTAGTCGCCATCTTAAAACTAACAAAAGTCATTCCTCCTTGCTCGTATTGCGTATCTTTTTATTTGTTGACATTATCAATAATTAAACTTCCGCATTAAGAGGATCCTATTACTGAAGTAAACACAATTGAATAATTGTAGATAGTTGAGAAAATATTCTTTATAAAATGTGTATTAAAAGACAACAAATTGTAAACGATGAAATTGACGATACGAGCAATGATATTAAAATTGTGGTGCATCAAATTCTTAGGGATTAAAGGTCAATACAGTTAGCAATATCTTTTTTCATTTTAAAAACATTATACTTATTTCTAACTGTATTTAAAGTGAATTCTTGAATAAACAATTATATAGTTGCATAAAATATTAAGAAAATGGCGACAGATGTCGAGGAATCAGATACGGATGATCATGAAAGACCAGTTCCGCCAAAACGTCAACGTACAAGATGCATTAAGGTCGATGAAAATTATTCCGATACGGTAATTATTAATGAAAACTTTACACAGATATTTATAAAATGTTGCTACAAGATTTAACGTATATGATACTTTAATTAATTTGCATATAAAACACACATACATATATATACATACATATAGATATATAGATATATATATTGATACTCTTTGAATTCTAACTTCATTCATTCAAAACAATTTGTTGTTTTATCATACAATAAGTAATAAATAATATTCTTAATGAAACTTTCAAATAAATGTCATTGTCAGGATAATCATACAACATCAGACAACAGCGAACATACAATTCAAGATGCAGAAAATGTTGAGTTAGAGGATGTAAAAAGAAGAGAGAAATTAAGGCGATGGCAGGCCTGCCAAGTTGCGACAGGAGTTGTAGACAATACTATTAATAATATGTTAGAAGATCTTATACCAAACGAATCGTTTTCTGTGGAAGAGACAGAATTTCGTTTACTTAGGGAGAGTGACATGGAAAATACAGCTGTGATGATGGCCATTCGTAATCATGGTTTAGTTTCATCAAGAGAACTTTTCCCTACGCCCAATAATCGATGTAGAACCGCTTATTGGAGTAACGCACATGTATCGTATTGTTCATCAAGTAATATGCAAGATACAGGAGGTTTTTCTAATTCCATAGCTTCGTCATCGGCTAAATCCTTGGCAATATTTGATCCTATAGAAGTTCGACCATATATTGAGCCCAATTCGGATATTGATGAAATAGCAACTAATGATCAACAAGAAGATTTCCTAGAACGAGCTGTAGAAGAAGCTATCAAGAAAAAAGGCTTAAGTGCATTGAGTGTTGATTACGGATGAACTGTTTTTCTTTCCATTAATTGCTATACGAATGTATTAAAACACAAACATGGTATTATTATATATAAGACTATTATATACATTTATGGGTATATAATAGTGATCATTTTGTTCTCAATTTTTTAGAAATTTTCGTCGTAGTTTATTTTATTTAGTCAATATCAAAAGACTTTATAAACATAGACGACGTATATGAACCAAGCGTGTTCATAGAGATTAATATTTGCTGATGGATTTTAACATCAAAATGTGCTTGCCTTATGGTCAAAACATTCTTTTATTGTGATTGGTTATTTATGAATGAAAAAACAAATCATGAAAATAATAACGATTATGTTTCATTGATTATAAATTTATTTAATAATTATTATTTGTTCATTCATTCATACAAATGTGCTATTTATTATAAGTAAAAAAAAAAACAACTGTTTTCGTAAAGAATGAAAAAGAATATACATACATATTATATATATATATATATATATATATATATATAGATACGTTAAGACTGTAGTATTAGACATTTCATTTTTTATCGAATTGTACATCCGCTTAATTTTAATTGACATCTTTTATTGACAAAATGTGATTTACATTGAAATTAAGAAGAAAACTGAATTATACCTTTACTCTGTATCGTACATATGTTTCTTTCTTTTTTTTTTCAAATGCGTGCCTCCTATTTTTTTTTTTTACTTTAAATAAAACATCAAATTAAAAAGAAATATCATCTCATCGCTAAAAATAATAATTGAAAAAAAAAAGAAGAAAAAAAACATTAAGTTTCTACATAGATGAGAAGCAATAAAAAATATAGATAGAAGAAAGATTGAGAAAAACAAAAAAATGTAGATAATTTCAAGAATTATAAGAGATAGGATCAGTGACTCTAGTAGACTCTAGTAAATTTTTTCATAGATATTATAAAAGTTAAGAGAGGAAAGTATAGTTGTCCGAAATGCGAAAGACACACTGAGTATTAAAGGTAGTGAACAGCAAAGCTTTGTAGAGTGATAAGGGAAGAAGAGAGGAGAAGAGAGAGAGATTTTCTGAGGTGGTGGTCGCAAAAGAATATTAGAAAAGAGAGGGGTTTCAAGAACAACGGGAAGTGCAAGAAGCATGAGCACAGACAGAGCATAGTACATATTCGCGTGCTGCTGACTGTCGTGGCACGAGTACGAAGCATTAGGGAGTATAAAGGGGCGAAGGGAAAAGAAAGAACGTGCTCTTTCAAGGCGAAATGTAAGTGAGAGAGAGAGAGAACGATATAGTAAAAAGGAAGAAAGAAGAGCCGTAAGAGAAGTCGAGGGGAGGGGATATAAGGTTCGGAGTCGGATGGAGGGGGAAGTGCGAGGAACCAACGAATAGCAAACGAGAGGGGAGAAACTATGAGCAGTGGGTGCACACGTACAAGGCGTAGTGACTGCATGCCGAGTCGGTACGCGGATAGTGAGCATTAATGTCGCATTTTCTGTGCTGTTTTTCTACACGTTAATATTTAGCCAGTGAGGATAAAGAGTTTTATTCGTCGTCTATCTCAAATCGTTCGTTTCAATAATGGCTTCGGACGAAGAGGTGGAAGAAAATTACGCGGGTGAGTCGAAAAATGAACACATTGTTCTAGCAACCACCGGAAAGCAACGAGTTGTGTCCTCGTCGGCTAAGCAGGACGCGCGCTTTTCGTATGATGGCTGCCGTGTGTCAATCGCTTTTTGTTGTTGTTTTGATATTTTTCCCTTCTTCCCTTTTATTTATAACACGTTTTTTTTTTATATACTTACACGTGATACTATAATGGTAGTTGTAAGAATGCATCAAAATTATAATTTTTTTCTTCGTGAATGTCTTCTTATGCTTGATTGGGCAATATTTTTTTTCTCTCTCTCACTCTTTCGTTCATCCATCTCTCCCTCTCTCTTTCTCTCTCTCTCTCTCTCTCTGTCTCGCTCATTTTTCTTTTTTTCTTCCTTTTCTCTCTACTACCTCCCCTCTCTGTCTGTCTTTTTCTTTTTTCATCTTCCTTCTTCATGAATGCCAATTGCTCGTATTCGATTTGAACGCGCGCGAGATTTTATTATCAATGATTTTGTTAAAGATTTTTCGTAATATATTAAGATTACACATGTGTGATTTTATCTAAGGACGAATTTAAGGTTAACATTTCGCGCCTTGTCCAGGATTGATCGATTCAACGATCGAATGCATGGAACACGATGCAAGTGTTCGGAAAACGATCGGCGTTTGACCGTTGCTCAACTCTCGCGCCGGAAAACTTGATCAAAAGACAACATGTCAATTTATTTTTTTATCTATCATTAAAATTTAATAATTAATTTGATTAATGCAGTCGAAATTTGACTTTTAAAAATTATATTTTTATTTTATTGTACTGTTTTTCCTGTAGTCATTATTTTGTTTACATTTTAAAGTGCAGAACTCAAAGTTGTATTTTGTGTGGTGTTGAAGAAAAAAATTGATGACTTGCAATTAAGTCCAAAAATATCGAAAAGAGATCATTTTGATGCAAGTATTAATAAATAATATTGCAAGTGTTGCAAATAAATGTCAGACAGTGACTGTAATTTTTTTTTTAAGTTTCACTGTTAATTGTAATTATTTCAAATTGTTGGGAACAAATCATCAGAATATTTTGAATCAAAACAGATCTATTTTATTTAGTTTCATTCTCTAGTGTTAATATCAATTTATTACAGTTATTAATTTAAATGCTCCCCCAACGTATATATATATACTATATACTATACTATATATATATATATATATATATATATATATATATATATACTATATTATTATTCTACTATTACTATTATTATGATACTGTTGTACTATTTCTCATGTACAGTTGCGAATATGAAATTATTTAAAATGTGTCGCAACGAATACATGTTAGTCTACGATATTTCACGTTATTATTATTATTATTTTTCTTCTTCTTTTTAATATTATTATTATTATTATTTTTATTATTATTATTATTATTATTATTATTATTATTATTATCATGATGATTATTTTTGTAGGTACATAGTAACTTCGTGACGCTCGCTTCGCTTTTTGATCTAGTGCAGCTGTGTGTTGTACTTCGTGACTGACACACTTATAGGGTTGTTATAATAGCCGGTTCGTGTACGCGAGTTTATCAAATATTTTTCTAATTTTAATAATTAACCTATTTTTTGTTCTATATTCTATTGATCATTATTTTTCATAGATTTGTTTAGAAATAGTTTGTTCAAAGTTGACAATACTAATCTAAAGTACGATAAGATTATGAATAAATACTTCTTACTTCGTATGCGTTATGCCCTTTGAAAGAAAATGGCGGACGCACACTCGCACAAAGCATTCGCCGAACGCGGATTAGTCCTCTGTAATAATTTGTACATTTTTGTTAAACTTACTCGTGCATAATATTATGCATTCGTTATATTCGTAAACCGATTTTTATCGTGTTTCTTATCATCGGCAAGTAATAATCGTAATAGTTTATAAAAATAGTGAAAAATCGTTTTAATATAAGTTTTAAATTTCGTTTAATAACCGTCAATCGTTCCTTTCAGGTATTAGAATATGGATGGTTAGTAAACGACGATCTAATTCATATATTTCTGTTATAAATAATAATAGTTTTATTTTGGAGGGAAACTACTCTCTCTCTCCCTCTCTCACTCTCTCTCTCTCTCTCTCTCTCTCTTTCCTTTCTCTTTTGTGATTTGTTGTTTTGATAATTTTGAGTTTATTTCAAATTACTCAAATTATGTCGCGATACCTTCATTTATATTTTAATCCATATTTTATTTCAAATAATGTCATATAATTTTTTTTGGGTCTCATTTCAATTGTTTATTATAATATTTATAATATTTCATTTATACAGATACATTTTATTGATTTTGTGAAGGTTCAAGTGTGGTTTTCATTTTTGCCAAACCCAACTTATAATCACCATTCACATATTGATTTTGTCTGCTTAATACATATAGGAACAACTATATATATATATATATAACTATATATATATATATTCATATTATATATATATGTATGTATAATAATAACCTGTAGAATAAGATACTAGTTATTTTGAATTGCATTAGAATTTAACATTTTATATTGAAATTCAAATAATTTCTTTATATTTTCATTCATTTACACATTACCTAGAAAATGTTTGGTTATGTTTTATTGATATGATGTTAATATGAAATGTACAGGCGAAGATGATCTAGAGGAAACTGGGGGTCAGGTTTCTAATATTAATCAACAAGTAGATGGCTCATCTGATGCTGAGAAATCTCCTATATTAGTAAGTATATAATTTCTTGTATTTTATTTTTCTAAATTTAAAATAAAACTTATAAGATTACACGTGGTTTCTTTTTCATTTATTATAGGAAGAAGATGATGATTATGAACCGGAAGAAAGAAAGAAGAAAAAAGGAAAAAAACGGAAAGCACGCAGTGAAGATAAGAAAGGCAAGAAAAAGAAGAAAAAGAAAAAGTCTGATTCTGGAGACGTAAATATTTTTGTATATACATATATAATAATATATAATAATAATAATAATTCTTACATGTTCCTTTCTTCATAATAAGTTTTATTTCCAAAATATTAGGAAAGTGATTTCGGTGGTGGAGATGTTGGTGATGCAGCAGGTGATGACAGCGACTATGCAGGGAATAGAAAGAGTAGAAAATCTTCATCGAGGAAATCATCCAGTCATAATGAACCGTCTACGCAAGGACAAGAACCAACAACTGGAATGCCAACGATAGAAGAAGTTTGCAACACCTTTGGATTAACTGATGTACAAATAGATTACTCTGATGCAGATTTTCAAAATTTAACAACGTACAAACTGTTTCAACAACATGTTAGACCACTTTTAGCAAAAGAAAATCCAAAAGTAAGTAATGTTATTATTTAGAAATAATATTCGATATCTTATCATTTATTTGTACACGTATTATGCATAATAGGTACCAATGTCCAAATTGATGATGCTGGTAGCAGCTAAGTGGCGAGACTTCTCAGAGCTGAATCCTCACACCCAACCGGATGCAGATGCATCATCTACAAACGTGGACGATGATAGCAGAAATGTAAGAACAAATCGTAGTGGTCCGGTCCAGGAAGCAGAGGATGAAGAGGATGACGACGAGGACAGCGATAGAAAAAGGAAGTCTAGAGGAACAAGGGCCAAAAAAGGGAAGAAAGCATCTAAAGTACCAACGCTTAAAATAAAACTTGGAAAACGTAAAAGGGGAAGTTCAGTATGTGATTTTTAATTGATTGCAACAATTCAGAAATGTTGTGCAATTAATTCAAGTTGTGTGTTGCGTGTGTAATTGGTGTCGTTTCCTTTAATTAGGATGAAGAGGCAGAGGGAAGCGGGGCAGGATCTGATCGCGATTCCGACATGGAGTTCGAGCAAATGTTGGCCAATGCAGAAAAAGGATCTGGTGGTGATGGAAACATGAAGGCGGGTGTAGAAGAGGGTGAAGTTGAACCACCAGCAGAACCACCTGTTCGCAGAAAGGCCAAGACCAAGATCGGCAACAAAACTAAGAAGAAAAAGAAGACTAAAACTACATCTAAATTTCCAGATGGAGAGGAAGGTCTTCAGGTAATAATTTCATTTATAAATTTGTATATTTTATAATATTCTCATGTGAGATGTATTTCATTTTATTCAGACGGATCATCAAGATTATTGCGAAGTTTGTCAACAAGGTGGAGAAATTATCTTATGTGATACGTGCCCAAGAGCATATCATTTGGTATGCTTAGAACCTGAATTAGAAGAAACACCGGAAGGAAAATGGAGCTGTCCTCATTGTGAAGGAGAAGGTATTGCAGGTACCTCCCTGGCATTCCCTATCCCTTTTTCCTACCCTATCACATTTATTCAAGTATACTTGTAAATTTATATTACAAGTTCTTGATTATCTTCATTAGGTGCAGCAGAAGATGACGATGAACACATGGAATTTTGTAGAGTTTGTAAAGATGGTGGTGAATTGTTGTGCTGTGATAGTTGCACAAGTGCATATCATACACATTGTTTAAATCCTCCTCTGTCAGAAATTCCAGATGGCGACTGGAAATGTCCCAGGTGTTCTTGTCCACCATTACGCGGCAAAGGTCCGTTAATTGATTTTTATTACTTACTAAATGATTATATTGAAATAATATTAATTTTCATAATTTTATATATTACTTATTTATTTTGTTTTAGTTGCAAAAATATTAACGTGGAGGTGGAAAGAATGTCCAGAAACACCATCAGAAGAACCTTCAACAAGTAAAGCAGCACCAAAGCAATGTAAAATACGAGAATTCTTTGTCAAGTGGGCCGATATGTCTTATTGGCATTGTGATTGGGTTACAGAATTACAGTTAGATGTTTTTCATCCACTTATGTTCAGGTAATTACTAGATAATAAGACATGAATAAGAGTAAATACTTAAATTATAGGGAAGGGTTTTAAGATAATTGGAAAATAGGGTATAGTTCCTTCATTAGATTCTATTTTTCAGAAATTACTCACGTAAATATGATATGGATGACCCACCGAAATTAGAAGAGCCATTGGACGAAGGCGATTCTCGTGTAAAGAGATTGAAAGAACAAGATGGTGCTACTAATAGAGATGATTATAATTTAGAAGAACGATTTTATCGTTATGGTGTACGTCCTGAATGGCTTGTGGTTCATCGAGTCATTAACCACAGACTTCAACGAGACGGACGAGCGATATATCTTGTTAAATGGAGAGAACTAGGCTATGATCAAGCTACTTGGGAAGATGAACATGAAGATATTCCTGGATTGAAACAAGCTATAGAATATTATTTAGATTTAAGGGCAGCAAATTGTTGCGATGGCAGTTCATCTCGTAAGGGTAAAAAAGGTAATGTCGATATATAATGTTATAGAAAACTTTGAGTAATCTATGTTTAAATATTTTCATTAATTATATAGGTAAAGGTAAAAAATCCAAAACACGTGAACTCATTGATGACGAAGAAAGAACACCCAAACGTTATACACCACCACCAGATAAACCAACTACAGATCTTAAGAAAAAATACGAACGTCAACCTGAGTATTTGGATCAAACTGGAATGCAATTGCATCCTTACCAATTAGAGGTAATTTTTTGATTTGATTGCAAAATATGTGACCACGAATAAATGGAAATAATTAATGATATTATTTTGTACTTGTTGTGTAGGGATTAAATTGGTTGAGGTATTCATGGGGACAAGGCATAGATACCATATTAGCAGATGAGATGGGTTTAGGAAAAACTATACAAACCATTACATTTTTATATTCTCTCTATAAAGAAGGTCACTGCAAAGGACCCTTCCTTGTATCCGTTCCACTGTCAACGATTATCAATTGGGAACGTGAATTTGAAACATGGGCACCTGATTTTTACTGTGTCACTTATGTTGGTTAGTACACGAGCTAATTGCTATACTTTTCTTTTATCTGTACAATATTTGTACAATTATATGTAAAATGTATTTGATTTGAAATATAGGTGACAAAGATAGCAGAATGGTAATTCGTGAAAATGAATTATCCTTTGAAGAAGGAGCTGTTCGAGGCATAAGAGCATCAAAGATTCGATCATCACAAATAAAGTTTAATGTACTATTGACAAGTTACGAACTGATTTCCATAGATTCAGCGTGCTTAGGTTCGATAGATTGGGCCGTACTCGTTGTAGACGAGGCACATAGATTGAAATCGAATCAATCGAAATTCTTCCGATTACTTGCGTCTTACAATATTGCATATAAACTTTTATTGACTGGTACACCATTACAAAATAATTTAGAAGAATTGTTCCACTTATTGAATTTCCTATGTCGTGATAAATTCAACGATCTAGCAGCATTCCAAAATGAATTTGCTGATATTTCAAAAGAAGAACAAGTGAAAAAGTTGCACGAGATGCTTGGGCCACACATGTTGCGTCGATTAAAGGCTGATGTATTAAAAAATATGCCAAGCAAATCAGAATTCATAGTAAGAGTTGAATTGTCACCAATGCAAAAGAAATATTACAAATATATTTTAACGAGAAACTTCGAAGCACTCAATCCTAAGGGCGGAGGTCAACAAGTATCGTTATTGAATATTATGATGGATCTTAAAAAATGTTGTAATCATCCATACTTGTTTCCTGCTGCATCGCAAGAAGCACCAACCGGACCTAATGGAAATTACGAAACGTCTGCATTGATTAAAGCTGCTGGAAAATTAGTTTTATTGAGCAAGATGTTAAAAAAATTGAGAGACGATGGTCACAGAGTTTTAATATTCTCTCAGATGACTAAGATGTTGGATATACTGGAAGATTATTTGGAAGGAGAGGGTTACAAATATGAAAGAATAGATGGTAATATTACAGGTGCCCAAAGACAGGAAGCTATCGATAGATTTAACGCTCCTGGTGCACAACAATTTGTATTTTTACTTTCTACACGTGCTGGTGGATTGGGTATCAATCTGGCAACAGCAGATACTGTTATCATTTATGATTCTGATTGGAATCCTCACAATGACATTCAAGCATTCAGCAGAGCACATAGAATTGGTCAAGCCAATAAAGTTATGATTTATAGGTTTGTTACTCGTAATTCAGTGGAAGAAAGAGTAACGCAAGTAGCTAAACGTAAAATGATGCTTACGCATTTAGTTGTTCGACCAGGAATGGGTGGTAAGGGTGCTAATTTCAGTAAACAAGAACTAGACGATATTCTTCGATTTGGTAAGTTTGAAAATTTCATTATAGAATTAAACATTATTCTTGATATAAATAAAAACTATTAAATTCTAATTTGGAACTTTGTCTTTTTTTTTTTTTTTTTTATAGGTACCGAAGAATTGTTTAAAGAAGAAGAAGGTAAAGAAGATGAAGCAATTCATTATGATGATAAAGCAGTTGCCGAATTGTTAGATCGAAGTAAAGAAGGTATAGAACAGAAGGAGAATTGGGCAAATGAGTACTTAAGTTCATTTAAAGTAGCATCTTACGTGACAAAAGAGGGTGAAACCGAAGAGGAAGCGGATACTGAAATAATTAAACAAGAAGCAGAAAATACTGATCCAGCATATTGGATAAAGCTTTTAAGACATCATTATGAACAACAACAAGAAGATATCGCGAGAACACTTGGTAAGGGTAAGAGAGTAAGGAAACAAGTTAATTATAACGACGGTGGTGTTACGGGAGATCAAGGTGCAAGAGATGATCAACCGTGGCAAGAGAATTTGTCAGATTACAACAGCGATTTTAGTGCGCCAAGTGATGACGATAAGGAGGATGATGATTTTGATGAAAAGGGTGATGGAGATTTGTTATCTCGTAGAAGTAGACGAAGATTGGAAAGGCGAGATGAAAAGGATAGACCTCTTCCGCCATTACTTGCCCGTGTTAATGGTAATATTGAAGTATTAGGTTTTAATGCCAGACAACGAAAGGCATTCTTAAATGCTATTATGCGTTATGGCATGCCACCACAAGATGCATTTAACTCACAATGGTTGGTCAGAGATTTGAGAGGGAAATCGGAGAAAAATTTCAAAGCTTACGTTTCACTTTTCATGCGACACCTTTGCGAGCCTGGGGCTGATAATGCTGAAACATTTGCCGATGGTGTACCAAGAGAAGGCCTTAGCAGACAACACGTTTTAACTAGAATTGGTGTAATGTCTTTGATTAGGAAAAAGGTTCAAGAATTTGAACATATTAATGGATATTATTCAATGCCAGAAATGATTCGTAAGCCGGTAGAACCTGTTAAGGTTGAAGCAGCTGGTGATGCAGCTACGGGTACTAGTAGCACAAGTGCCACGCCTGCTACTTCCAATGCACCTAGCCCTAGTCCTGCAGCCACGCCAACGCCTACATCTGCATCCGGCACGATGACTAGTGAAAATAACAAAGCCAATGCTGATTCATCCGAAACAAAGGATTCCAAGGATGATCAAAAGGAAAAGGAGGTTTGTAAAAACTTTGATCGACTTTCTTTTTATTTTTATTTTTACAAGGACTTATTCAATAAAAATGTTTAAGTATATTGATCATATAAATAAATTGAAGTATCCAAAACGTTTATATTATATTTTTCATGTTTCCTTTTTAGGGTAATGATTCCAAAGACGTGAAAGAAGATACTAAGGATAAAGAAGAGGAAGATGGAAATAAAGATAAAGAGAAAGATAAAGAAGAAATCAAAAAAGAAGAAAAAGAAACGGAAACAGACATATCGGATAAAGATAAGGATAAGAATGATGGAAAGGATGAAAAAGGTACAACGAAACATGATGAAAAAACTGATACGAGTGACAATAAACAAAAAGAAGCTGAGGAGGATGTTGTTATCGTTAAAGACGACGAAGAGGAAACAGAAAAACGAGAGGTACTTTTATGATTTAATAAAATGATTTATTTTTCTTTTTCTTTTTGCTCAGACAATAATTATAAATTTGATTTATAATATATAATAATAAATGACTTGTAGGATAAAGATACGAAAGAAAAGGATACTAAGGACTGTGATTCTGAAATACTTAAAACTAAACGTAAATTCATGTTTAACATTGCCGATGGTGGTTTTACGGAGCTTCATACTTTGTGGTTAAATGAAGAAAAAGCTGCAGTACCTGGTCGTGAATATGAAATTTGGCATCGAAGACACGATTATTGGTTATTAGCTGGTATCGTTACTCATGGATATGGCCGTTGGCAAGATATTCAAAATGATATACGGTAGATAAATAAACATTTTCATCATATTTAATATTTTCTGTCTTTTTTTTTTTTTTTTTTTTTTTTTAATTTTAAATTAATTTCCTTATTTATAATTACAGATTTGCAATAATTAACGAACCTTTCAAAATGGACGTTGGAAAGGGTAACTTTTTAGAAATAAAAAATAAATTTTTGGCTAGGCGTTTCAAACTTCTAGAACAGGCATTAGTGATAGAAGAACAATTGAGGAGGGCTGCGTACCTGAACTTAACACAGGATCCCAATCATCCTGCAATGAGCCTCAATGCCAGATTCGCCGAAGTTGAGTGCCTTGCTGAATCACATCAACACCTTAGCAAAGAAAGTCTTGCTGGTAATAAACCTGCAAACGCCGTACTGCATAAGGTTTGAATTACCAATAATATAATATAAACATTAATATGTTATCATTAAGTCTAGTTGTGAAAAAAGTATAATTTCCATTTTGAGGAATGAATTATAAAAATGTATTCATATCACAATATCATTCAATGACTCATAACTCATGATCTATTATCTTATCAATGCTGACATGTAATTGCTAGTCATTGATATTGGATTAAGAAGATTGATATGTTAAAATAGAAATTATATTTATAACTTGATTTATTACAAATTACTATGATTTATTTATGTTCAATGATCGATCATTTTTAACGTTGTTGTAAATGTAAAATGATTATAGGTATTAAATCAATTGGAGGAATTACTGTCTGATATGAAATCAGATGTCAGTCGTTTACCAGCAACTTTGGCACGTATTCCTCCAGTCGCCCAAAGACTTCAAATGTCCGAGAGGTCGATATTGAGTCGATTAGCTGCAACTGCCCCAGGTGGTAATAGTTCTCAAGCTGGTCAATTATTGGCACAACAATTCCCTGCAGGCTTTTCTGGAGGACAACTGCCAGCGACATTTGCAGGTGCCGCTAACTTTGGAAGTTTCAGACCACAATACTCAGTACCAGGTCAACCACCTCAAGGTTTTACAGGTCAGTGAGACCACCGTGTCTTCGTCCGCTCGAACAAGAACAATTGTTAACTTGATACGAAAAGGTGATTCATTTCTATCGTAGTTTCAACATAAAATCCTTGAATTCTTTTAAAGAATTCTAATATTGGCGCTGGTTGCATTGATTCAACAAAATAATAACAACAACAACAATAATAATAATAATATTATTAAATGATGGTAACAACAATAACAACACAAAATATTTTGCTGTATTATTATTTCTCTTAACACTAGTTGAACTTTTTTTTTTTTTTTTCATTAGAAGAGGGCGATAAGATTTGAATATATAAAGTGTGTAATAACATTTTATTATTAAATTACATTATTTACCTGTATTTATTATATGTACATTCGGCAACTAGCATCATCAAGCAAGAGAGAGAGAGAGATATTCATGTTTTATATCAATGCAAGCGATTTTAATTCAAGAGACTTGAATTATTTTTTGAAATATATATATATATATATACAAATATATGATTATTAAGAGAATGATTTTATATCTCTTGATATATATATATATATATGAAATCGCTGTGTGTATCCATATAATTATTAAGATGTTCGTTTTACTTAAATTTATTTAAGAACAAGTAATTAATTTTATGTGAAGAATTTACAATTTTAAGGTGTTTTGATTAATAATCGCGATGTATTCTTATAATTTATTCTTATTAAAGGGAGAAAAGATAAGAAAAGAAAAAAAATGAATGAAAATTATTATTATTAGTGACAATAGTTGGCTCGGATGCAAAAAAAAAAAAAGAAAAAAAGAACTAATAAATTAACTATAGTTGGAGTATGTAAGTGAGAAAAGAAACATGTAATCATCAAGAGTTACAATAACTTCTCATTGAATTTCGTTAATGAAATTCATCAGGATATAATATGAAAGAAAGAAAGAGAAAGAGAGAAAGAAAGAAAGAAAGATAATAGAACTTTGAACAAAGGCAATCATTTTAGTTAAGACTGACATTTGATATTGTATCCGAGAGATTGTCACGCGTGATGTACTATTATAACCTACAATTGATTATATTATTAGTTACGTGATGATACGTATATATATATATATATATAAATATATATATATATTATTTTTTTTCTCTTTTTTATTGTATCTTAGAATTTCGATAATCGGTCGGTCAATTTTTCCAAGTCAAAATATTATATTATATAGGTAAAAGAGTGATTTAAAAAAAAAAAAAAAAAGAAAAAACAAGAAAAAAAAAACAAGAAAATGTTTGTATGATCCGCAGGAATCGATTTACATTCACCTACACACACACCCACATACACATTATTTCAATATTATTTGAATTTGGAAAGAGAGAGGAGGAGAGACAGACACACATTTAAAAAGAAAGGAAATTCCCACTAAAATGATGTACGTACCCCGTTTTCAATATGACGTTTGTAATAATATCAACGGATTTCAAATTGCAATATGATAATAATAATAATAATAATAATAATAATAATATTAATAATCATCATCATCATTATCATCTTCATCATCATCATCATCATCATCATTACACATACACTCATACAAATACACCACACATGGATGTCATATACTTACAATAGAAAAGAAAAGTAAATTCTTTTAACACTGTGTACGTCTACAAATATATGCTTCGAAATTTTGTCTTCTACCTTACCTAACAATAAGTTTAGAAATAATAATAATAATAATAATACATTTGTACATACGCGTATATATTGTCGCACTGCAATTTTCGAAAATATCATAGTTATAAGTGATAACAACAACAACAACAACAACATAACAAAATTATCTTGTGCTCCATGCATTACATTGGTTGGATGATCATTGTAATTACACATTGTAATTACAATTGTAATTACATGATAGGAAAAAAAGGAAAAAAATTTAACTGCGTTTAGTGGGTATATATATATATATATATATATATATATACATATATATATACATATTGATTATATTCGGTCTTTTCTACTCAATTTGCAAAACATTCACAAGTATTTTACTTTCTACTTATGAGATTTGCCAAATTATTATTTTGGCATTGATATAAGTTTTTAAAAGTAGTGTAGAAATTATATAATTAAGGGATTTTATGAAAGGATGATAAAAAAAAAAAAAAAAGAAAAAAAAAACAAGTATTGAAATAAACGAGGAGTAGAAACATAGAAATTGTTTGTTCACAGTCCTTAAAAAAAAAAACAAAAAAAATGAATATTAGTAATAACTATTAGGTGTATATTTATGGAATTAAATATTCTAATAGATATTGGGTAAAATAAAAGAAATTCACACACACACATATATAGACATTACTACTTTTTTAATAGCATTTTAAAAAATATTACAATTCATCAGTACAGACAATGGATGGATGAGTAAGTGAAACGTAATAGTTGATGATAATTTAAAATATTTAAATAAAAAATATTGAAATATCGAAAAGAATTAATATTTTTCATGAAATGATAATCTCATATTCGTTGAAATATAATTGAATAATGAATTTTTTCTTTTTTAGAAATGAAAATGTTTAACCTGAAGTATCTTTGCTTTGTCTTTGTTGTACCATTTCTCTCAGATTATTTTCACTCTCTTTTAAACTCTTTTGCAAATAAGTTTTATTATTTTCTAAACTTTGTACCTTCTCGTCAACAACTTTCATTCTATTTTCCAAACCAATTTTAATATTTTCAATATCGTCAAATAAAAACATTCGACCAATGGATTCGTAAGTTCTAGTGTCCGGTGGTAAAGAGGTTATCTCTTTAACAGTAAGTTGTGCACGTTGTTTAGTTCGTTTTAATTTGTCTATTTGAGCATCAGCTAATTTTAATTTTTGCGTAGTATCGATCATTTTTTCATGCAATTCCGAAAATGCCTTTTTTAATTCTTGATCCGGTACTCTTGCCATGTCTGTGTCTCTTGTTCAATATATCTACATTTAAAAATGAAACATTTATTAACATATTACAATGATTTAATATAACTATATATACGTACCTTTATATATTGATTAAATTTATATTTAAACACACCACACGTTCCTATTTCTATTTTTATTTGTTAATAATAGTTCAATCAAATTTGTATTAATGCAACATTGTGTTAAATAATGATTCTTAGATCCTACGTTCATCATCCATATATGACAAAACTTGTTTAATAGATCAAGGCGTATTCGCATGAAATGTCAAACGTATAATTTAAAATCACAAATAGGTTATGTAAAATATTTGATTCTAGTAATAATTGTTTAATACGTGTAATCAATTTTACCAATTAATTTCATTATAAAAAAAAAAAAAAAATGGACGTATTACATAAAACACTTTTGATTAACGTATTATCGTAAACTCATAATCTGATTGGTTGTTACAAATAAACCTCATCATGAGTATTCTCCTTGAATATAAGAACGTACGTAAAGTTAGTTATTAATACAGTTCACAAAGAGTAATTTATTAATACGTTTATTTAGTAAATAATAATTAAGATTATTTATAATAATAATAATAATAATAACAAATAGTGTAACGATAAAGTCTATTAATATTATTGAATTGTTTTAGATCTATTTATCTATCTCTTTCTCTCTTTAATTATCTTTCTCTTTCTGACCAATAGTCTAGAAGGATCGAAACACGTTATACGCCATATTAGATATCGACCTTTGTTTGCAGCAACTTCAAGCGTTAGCATCGTTTCTCTACATTTGTCGCGTTGTGCTCTGTCTTTCCCTGTCCGCGGTCGGTATTCCTTTAGTCTCCGGATCCCCCCAAAAAAAGAAATCATTTATTTTTGTGCATAAATTTATTGTTCTGTGCCATTGGTCAACGTGAACGTGGAAGGAACCACTTTGCGGTGAGTGAGATTTTTCTATGGCCTACGACCATTATTATTAGGCTCTTCCCCACCCCACCCCGTCTACCCCATAACGTTCCTTTTTTTTATCCCTCCGTCTCGAAAATACGAAAAAAAAGGGCTAATAATCTTACGTGTTACTCCATTATCTCTCTCTCTCTCTCTCTCTCTCTTTGTTTTTTCTTTTTACAGTTTACGTGATATTTAAACACCTTGGTAATTTCGAGAAAGAGAGGGAACGAGAAATTTCAATTAATAAAATTGAATAGTTTCATCGTCATCATCGTTGTGATCGTTTCACCATTTTTTTTCATAGTTATTATTGAATATTTAATTGAAACGTTTTAAATATAGTCAATTTTCCTTTTTATGTATTATTTTTCAAGCTTCTCATTTGTCAAATATATATATTGTGATTTTGATGTTGATCATGTAATGGGTTGCCCTTTAGTCTTTGATAAGGGTGACCATCGTGCTAATGTCCATCGAACTCGGCCGTTACATACACCTTCCTCTTTCCCTCTCTTTCTCATTCTTTTTTTTCCACTCCCCTTGCAGTTATATACATATACACACATGTATGTATATGTATATAACAGTACATAGTATATACCACTGGAGTAGGTATACGTTACCTGCCCTTTTTTCTTTCTCTCTCTCTCTCTCTCTCTCTTTCTCTTTTTTTGCTATTGTTGAAAATCGTGTCCTACTCTTCTCTCTTTCTTTCTTTCTTTCTTTCTTTTTATACTCAAGTGTAATTTAAAATACAAAATTTGGTCACACACACACACACACATTTGTCTGTTACATAAAACTCATTTAAATAATATTTACCATTTGATTTCAATTGAAATTTGATTAGAATTTTGTTAATTGTATATTAATGTTTGTTATTAATATATTGTTCTTATTATTTTAAAGGTTAGCAAAGCGCAATTGCAAAGAAGTGCCATTGTGTTTCAATGTTTCTTTGATCTTGGCATATAATTTTATAATATGCAACAAACATATATGCATTTAATAATAAGAAAAATATATATATTCTCTCTTGTACTTTAAAAAAGATTATTAATTATTTTATCATAGTAATTAATAAGTCCTGTCATTTAATTAGGACATTTATTATCAATTCGTTATTTGATTCATGTTGTATTTTATCTTATGTTTCAACAAGCGAGAAGAATATATATATTATTGTATTTACGATCATACGACTCATGTTCTTTTCATTCTATACTAATTTATTTATTTTCATGATGCATTTCACATAGTATCTAATAATAATAATTTTATTCATCATTATTACATGTTGTGTATATTTATATTGAGAATATATATATATATGTATATATGTATGTATGTATGTAGGTAGAAGAAGAAAACTGTATAGCACAACGTGTTAGGATATATGTATATTAAGTTACGTTGTAGAAAGTTTGTAGGTTATGTTTCACATCCATTTTACTTTTAAATAATTTCTTTAACCAACCTACTGAATCTGACTAATATTATTGATAATAGTAGTAGTAGTAATAGTAATAGTAGTGTGGCAACCGTTCGATAACCTAAACGACGTGATATCATAATGATTCATAAAAGATCTGTATAGATATGTCAATGTTTAAACGTTTTTTTAATTTCTATTATATAGATAAATAAATAGATATTTAATTTATTTACAGTATGATGGTAATGGTTCTTGGTAAATGGATATGGTTATAAATAAAATACTATCGCGTGTAAATAATACAATTGAAAACTTTTATAATAATAATCTTGATAATTATAAATAATAGAAAAAGTGTAATTTATTTAATCGCGTTAATACGCGAAATATCTCATGATTTTCTTAGTAACATTCGAAATTCATTAGAAAGTTGACGATAACGCGATAACTGTATTGAAGTGTGTTGAAAATGACTCTCTAACAATTCGAGGATTCATTTGTATTATCGATAATAATGACAATGGTGAAACTTTATAAAGAAGAGTATTCCTTATTTAAAAAATAATCAATATTATTATTATTATTATTATTATTATATAGCAGGAATAAAACTGTCGTGATTTATTTGAACGATGTATCTTGGTTTACCCGTTAACAAACGATCATTGAAATAATTGCAACAATTGGTGCAATCATATAAAACACACACACACACACACCAATGGTTACTGCATGCATCAAAGATACATCCGTTTAAATTTACAAATGAATTGATTAAGTAAAATTATTTGATTTTATTGAAATATTTATAAAATTATTTTTTTTAATTTTTTTTTTATTAGTTTTTGTTTTGATTAAACATTTTTGTTTTTAAATTTGTAGAAGAAATACTAATAAGGAATAAGGGATGATAAATAATAACGGAATAGAGAATACATGTGATCAAAGTTAATCGTAATGCGTAGTATGTATATCAGTGTCACTGTTACGATGATAACAGGTCATCGTGTATAAAATTCAAGCGGTGTCATCCATATTAATGAAATTATTCTTTATTAGTCCAACAGTTATATTACGCGATTTAACGGAGCTCACGTTCACCGTAATGTTTCCTGCACGCGAACTCCTTGTTATCGCTGATATTAGTTTGATAGTATGTTGCCATATCATTATGTCTACTAAAGTAAGAGGGAACTGTTTTTGATTAGAGTAGTTCAACTTTTGTTTTACGATCAATTTATTCGACCATAATCTTACGATAAACTTGTCACGAGATTTAGTATTATTCGCCATTTTTAAAAAACAATTCAAATTTCCCGGGCTTTCTCTTCCCCGCACTTCTCTCACAGAGGGAACTGTTTTTGATTAGAGTAGTTTAACTCTTGTTTAAATGATCAATTTATTTGACCATAATCTTATGATAAACTTGTCACGAGATTTAGTATTATTCGCCATTTTTAAAAAAACAATTCAAATTTCCCGGGCTTTCTTTTTTCCTACACTTCCAATTTATTTCTAATTTATTTTACACGAGGTTCGTTAACTCTTCAGGATATACCTTATAAATTATTGTGATTTATTAATTTACCTTCCCACCTTCCCCTCAGCTCATTTTTTATACGGAAGTATGATATTAAGTTGCTCAAGAGATAATTAATAAAAAAAATAGTAGAGGGTTCGAGGATCTAAAAGGGAGATGAGATTATTTTTAAAACGTTCAACAGTGATTCTCAATTCACAAAGTGATTTATTATTACAAGGTTAACGATGATCAATCTATAGTGTTTTTTTTTTTTTTTTATCAGAATTACGTAATTTCACGTTTGTACAAAATACCAACGTGGTGGTATTATGCCAACGACACGCATGAATATTTTTCAACAAGTCTGACATTGCACATATTTTATATTTTCTTCTTCTTCTTCTTCTTCTTCTTCTTCTTCTTCTTCTTCCCTGACATTGCTAATTTTATTTTTTATTTTTATTTACATTAACTCGATCCCGTTTTTTTTCTTATCCTCGTTTTATTTTATTTGGTAATATACATTAATAATCAATCAATTTATATTCAGGTCACGTATTTTGTATATGAGTATTTTTAATATAAAAAGAAAAAGGAAAAAAAAAGGTCAATGCAAATCGTTAAAAATTCATCGTTGTTCTGTTAACATAATTTTTTTTTTTTTGTTTGTATGTAAGTAATATATACATATATATATATATATACTTACATGTGTTCTCGTCCATTGACATGCGCATAAGTTCTCGTTGTATTATGCATTATGCATATATATACATATATATACATATTTATGTATTTAACAGTACCCTGCAATAGAGGATGGTTGTTATCAAGGGGAACTCTGTGTGTGTGTGTGTGTGTGTTGATCAAATTTTGCGTTCATCTTTTATGGCTTGTTTACATTTTCGATTTCTCACCTTTGTCTTTCAGTATTATTGTCTATTTAAATATAATTATGTGTTAGTAGGAAAATTTATTAAGTTTAGTTTATCATCTAGGAGATTAAACTTCATTGAAAAAAGAAATTCAAAAAAGGAAGAGGTTAACACACGTGTAACATGATATTTATATACATAACCTATAAATTTATTCACCTATATTTTATTATTTGTTTTAGGAAGAAGAAAGTAAGGATAGTTTTTATTTAATTTGATAAAATATAATGTAATTTATTTGTAGGTAAATTATTTATTATATATACATAACCTATAATTTATTCACTTATATTTTATTTTAAGAAGGATAAAATAAGGATAGTTTTTATTTAAATTAGTTTTTATTATATATAATATTATTTATATTTATAAAATGTTAACATAGAAAGGTGAATTAAAAGAAGAAACAAAGAAACAAGAATATCATCAAATATCATCAACTTCTTTGTGTGGTGTGTTTCTGTGACTCATATTTAACATAAAAAAAAAAAAAAAANATTTATTATATATACATAACCTATAATTTATTCACTTATATTTTATTTTAAGAAGGATAAAATAAGGATAGTTTTTATTTAAATTAGTTTTTATTATATATAATATTATTTATATTTATAAAATGTTAACATAGAAAGGTGAATTAAAAGAAGAAACAAAGAAACAAGAATATCATCAAATATCATCAACTTCTTTGTGTGGTGTGTTTCTGTGACTCATATTTAACATAAAAAAAAAAAAAAAAATAAAAAAATACAATACAGGATCTCAGGTAGGACATATTTAAAGAAAATGAAACAAAAATTGCTACATAAAACTATGTATAATCTTTTAATATCCTGTTATGTGTCCTGTTAACATTTTCCTTAAGATTGTATTTGAAATTTATTTATCTAATCTTTTGTGGTTCTTCAAACTTCATATTTTGATTACAAGAGAGGAACAATTCTTTCTCTCTTTCTCTCTCTCTCTCTCTTGCTCTCTTTTAAAATCCTTTTTCTTTGAATACGTCGTCCTGTGGCCATATATGTAAATCTGACGTCACCACCCTCATGAGAGTCACATAAGGACGCCCACCTTGACACAACGACCACGTTGTGACAATCATGATGATGATGATGATGATGATGATGATGATGTTGTTGATAATAGTGTCGTTTGTCGCTTCTTTTCCGCATCCTTTAAAAAAAAAAAACATTTTTATTTATTTAAATTGTATTAAGTGGATCAGAAAGTAATGTCGCTTTTTAACCTCAAAATACAAACAAGTTTTTATTATTAATCAATAATTCAATTAATTAATCACGTTATCAACAATCTTTATCTAATCTGATATGCAAATTTTTAATATTGTAATGATAAAAATCATCAATCAATTTTTTGATTTAAAATATTAGAAATAATTTGACATACGTAGTAACGTAACTCCATTACTTTTTAGTTTCCTTGATATTATTAACTTCGTATCTCAATTGAAAATGTTTTTATTTATTTATATAGATGGTTGCAATTAACTTTGAGATAATTTTTTTTTTTAAACAAATGTTGTATTTATTTTTACAGTAATTTTATACAGTTCTGTATAATTTTTAGAAATAGTTTTTGTTTTTTTTTTTTTTTGATAATTCAGATTCAGACCGTTTGAACTTTCTTGACGAAATAACAATGATATTATTTTTTTGATTATTTTTAATGATATTTAAGTAAATAATATAAATTGTTTAAAATTCGATCGTAAAGAAGACAATTTTCTTCGACGTACGATAATACGAAAGTCAAAATGGAGACCTCGAAAAGTGCCCACTCGTTCTTTACTTTACAAATGATTAACATGCATTGCGTAGGAGATAAAAACGCGTTTTTTTTTTTTTTTGCTAACGTAAAAGTACACCTTTCGTATTTCGTTTAAAACATGAACGAAAAATATGAATCACCTTGTTGTTTCATTTTATCTTTGACACAGATTTTTACCTTCAGGTCCAGATATAATCTCGTAAATAAAAAAAAAACAATATCTAATTATTAATTGCGAGATATTTTATTTTTTTTTTAACAATGGTGGATTTTGATATTTGCGGCAATGTACTTTCAAACTTCCTAATGCCAATTAATAATAATAATAATAATAAGATATTTTATTTTAATGTTACTTTTCAAATTGAATTTATTTATGCATCACATAGAAATTTGTTTAACTTTGTGTGTGTGTGTGTGTGTCTTTTTCTTTTTCTAAAATTTGTAATTTCAAATGATATTCTTTCAATTTATTGACACACTAGTTTTTAGTTTTTTTTTTTTTTTTTTATAATTTTAATTCTAATTAAAATTAAAAATTAAATTTATTCATTAAATTTCAATATCTTTTTTTCTTTTTCTTCTTTCTTTTACTTTGCACATATATATTTTTTTTTGTTATCTTTATTTATCTTACCATTTATACTAATACAAATTATCAATTAACTTTAATTTTAATTGTTTTTTTCTTTCTTTTTTTTTTTTTTTACTTTTTGCATATCTTTCCTTTTTTCTCTTTATCTCTCTCTCTCTTTCTCTCTCTCTCTAACGAATACAAATTACCAATTAACTTTAATTACAATTATTCTGTTTTTTTCTTTTCTTTTGTATTATTTATCTATCCATCTTTCCCATTAAGCATGGAAAAAGAAAAAGATAAAAGAAAAAAAAAAACAAGAGATAATATTAACGTGTCGTGACTAAACTTCGTTCAGCTTCTGACTCAAACCAAACCCCAGTAAGTTTGCGAAATCTATCTGGTATGGTAGTAGTAGTAGTAGTAGTAGTAACAACTAGTAATAGTTGCCAACAAAAATTGTGCACGTAAGCTAGGGCGAATAGAAAGATAGATAGATAGATAGTTAGATAGATAGATAGATAGATAAATAGATTGAGGAGTAGGGTGATGGCTGTTTTAATTTTCTATTTGCGAACTAACACCATTTTTGAGATCTAATCATCACGGAAAGAGCTTATAACGTAACTTGTATCTATCAACTATAAAAGAAGATAGAAATAAAAAGAACAGTAAGAGAGAGCTAGAGAGAGAGAGAGAGAGAGAGAGAGAGAGAGAGAGAGAAAGAGAGAAACTAGAAAAGCAAGGTCGTGATCGTGAAGGTATCTTCTATTTGTCCCACTTTAAGAATTCTATTCGTTGATAACTCGTTAGGAGACATCTTTGAATTTTATTGAAGTGAACATTTTCTTTTTTTTTTATTTTATTTAATTTCTTATCTTTTGTTCAATCTGTTTTATTTTAATATTAATTTTATCTTCTCTGTATACAAATGATTTTTATTATTATTGATTTTGGTTTGTATATACACACACATTTTTTTTGTTTTTTTTTTTTTTTGATTGATCAAAGGAAAAATTATTCATGAAAAAATAGTAAAGTATAGAAAAAGGTTTGATTTGAAAATTGAATATTAGTATTAGAAATGTTAAGTGTCTAGGTCGATGACGATCATGTTTAAATTTTACTATCCTTTTGGAATGTTGCCCGAACTTTATAAATTCATTTTCCTAGTGTTATCTTCAATCTTTTGCCTTTGATTTAATTGCATTTTGGTTTATTTAAAAAGTGTGATGGTGGTGAAAGTAAAAGAAGAGTGAAATGAAGATATTTTGAAATAGATTTAATTGATATAAAGTTATATTTCATTGAATAGAATATAAAATATGTGTAATATAGTGCATTTAAATATTATATATATTTAATAGTATGTATTACAGCAGTGATGATGAATATGATTAATTGATTTATGTAAAGCACGAATGTGAGTGGGATCTTACATGTGTATCTATAGTTTAATGCATAGTTTACAGATCATTGAAAATATTACGAAGTTACTAAAAATAAGATTTTCATATTATCTTCTTATTAAGATAGACGCATATAACATTAACATTAATTATTATATTAAATTTGTTATTAAATTTTATTATAATATTTGTAATATAATTTAGTTTTAGTATTATATTTGAATGATATTATATTGAATTATATTATATTTTATATAATTTTATTATAATTATAATATAATATAAATTTAATATAATTATATATTAATAATAAAATAATATAAGATAATTAACATAATATATCTTAAATTTTATTAATATAATTAATTATATAATATAACTAGAGGTGCCCCGCCACGCATTGCTGTGGCTCACAATCAGTCTGATATTTTTATTAATAAACAAATAATTCGCAATAAAATAATATTGCGATTATAAATTGAGATATAAATTATCCTATCTTTCAAGTTGGATGAAACTGCACACTGTGTGCAAAATTTGATTAAAATCGGTTCAGTAGTTTAAGAGTCCATTGCGGACAAACAACGTGACACCTAATTTATATATATTAAGATATCCTATCTTTCAAGTTGGATGAAATTGCATACAGTGTGCAAAATTTTATGAAAATCGGTTCAGTAGTTTAGGAGTCTATTGCGGACAAACAACGTGACGTGACGTGACGTGACGTAATTTATATATATTAAGAAGAAGAAGAAGAAGAAGAAGATGTAAATTTAAATATAATATAATTAATAGTATTAATAAAATAAATAATTAATTATATTTAACACTAGATATACCACCATATTCAATATACCTATCTCTACTACACTAATCAAAATAACTGTTCTGGTATATCTAGTGAAGAAATAAAATCTAACTTTTCTCTTAGTTATTTTTATTTTATTAGAAAATAATTAATTATCAAACAAAATCAAAATGTAATACCACCTTTGTCTTAATTTGATTTCTAACACAATTGAATATAATAAGATAATAAGATAATAAGATAATATGAAAATTTGATTATACAAACATAAAGAAGTGGGGAAAAAAAAGTTTTAGGAAAAAGAGAGAGAGAGAGAGAGAGACAAAGAGAGGTAGAGGAAAAAGGAGAGGAATGGAATATCGTAATGACCTCCACCTACGCTTTTCATACTATTTTCGATACTCAGTTCGGCTAACTTTAGAGTTTTCGTCGGTCCAGTCTTTGACTTTGAGCTCAGTTTTCTCCCGAGAATTCGCTCTCACGCTACTCTCAACGTGTACCGTGTTCTTTATTTGCTTTTTTGTTTTTTATTTCCCCCCTCCCCCTTTCTTCACAATTTCATCCTTAATTATCACCAATGATGTTTCATTTCGATCTGTACATCAGTTGAAATTATTTTGAATTCGTTGTTGTTTTTTGTAATTTTTGACTTGTGTCGTTTGTTTTATTTTTACCAATTTTTTGTTTGATTAAAAATAGGTGAAAATAATTTGAATAAGAAGGGGTTTTTTTTTTGAGGTGTAATAAATTTATAAAAATTAATCATTTGATTATGTGATTATTTTCTTTTTTGTTTTTTTTTTTTCTTTTTTTTGGGGGGGGTTGTTCAATTTATATACCGTGTGATCGATAAAAATATGCACTTCGATAATATAAATGGCCGAAAAGCGTGAGATATGTGTTATTGCTATTTAAAGGTGATTACTGTGCAACATTGTGCATATCCTAGCTTAAAATTAGTGCCAACTTTCTGACATAAGTTTATCTATAGAGCTAGAGTGTGAGTATAAAAGGATTTAAGTCAACAAACGTTTATTTTTTATCGGTTACTTCTTCTTCTTATTATTATTATTATTATTATTATTATTATTTTATTTTCTTACCCTTTTCTTCATATTCATTTCATTACTTGTACCATTGAATACAAAAATAAAAGAAGATAGGTAATAATTCTCAATGATTTTGATCAATTCAAACTAATTCGTAGTATTCAGACATTATATTTAAATATCTTTGAAAATGATTACAGTTAAAGAGAGAGAGAGAGAGAGAGAGAGAGAGAGAGAGAGAGAGAGAGGAAGGAAGGAATAATTTGAATTTGAATTTGAATTTGAAATTGAAATGAAGCTGTAGACCCATGATTTTCAAATGATCTCATCCTGTAGATGTTCTATTTCTTTATTCTTATTTTTTTTTTGGTTAACATAAGTTACTTGCCAGCTGGCTGGTCAAATGGTCTTGCTTAATTAGTATAACTAACTATGGATTGCATTGTTCGACAGGTGGTTGCCTAAGCTCTGATACCTGAGCAGAAAATTACATATTACGATGGTCGACTACTACAGGATTCTTGAAGTACAACGAACTGCTACCAGCAATGACATCAAAAAAGCGTAAGTTCAACAACAAATTTAATAATAATAATAATAATAATAATAACATAATTTAATTATTAATAATAATTAATATAATTCTAGAGAAGATTAAGAAGAAAATGATGATGATGATGATGATGAAGAAGATTTGATTAGATTGAAAGATTTGAAGAGAAAAATAATATTATTGATTTTTATTATTTGAATATTTGTTTTGTTTTTGTTTGATGGTATATGTAAAATTATTTTATTATATATTTTTCATTTTGTCAATGGATCAACCGGGTGAAAAATTGAATGAAAAGCTTTCTGCAATAAGAAGAAGAAGAAGAAGAAGAAGAAGAAGTAGAACAAAACTGTATTTTGGCCATCATCCAAGTTCGAACTTGAAGAAAGAACAGTTGGTCGGGTCTTGTATATTCGATGCTTGAAAGCAAAGCATGACGATCATAATAAAATAGATCTTTTTCTTCTTCTTCTTATTCTTATTCTTATTCTTATTCTTATTCTTCTAGGTGAACCAGTTTCAATAAAATATCCTTGTAAAATGTTAAACTCTATAGTTTACTTCTTATAAGTATTTTATTATTTATTTTCATTTATATTTGTTGAAATGAATTTTGTGTGTTTCATGTATTTCAAAAATTGAAATCATTATATTTATTTGTTTTTTAATTTAAATTTCAAAAATAATTTTGTATATTAGGCGAATTTTTCATACAATTTTTTATTATTAATCAATAATTCAATTAATTAATTAAATTAATTAATAACTTTATCTATTAACAATCTTTTTCTAATTGGTATGCACAATTTTTAATATCATAACGATCAAAATCATCAATCACTTTTTTGATTTGAAATATTAGAAATAATTTGACTTGCGTAGTAACAACGCGTAGTACTGTAGTAACGAATTATGTTTCACGTTGTTTGTCCGCAATAGACTCTTAAACTACTAATCCGATTTTAATCAAATTTTGCACACAGTGTGCAGTTTCATCTAACTTGAAAGATAGGATTGTTTATATCTCAATTTATAATCGCAATATTATTTTATTGATCTTAAAGAGTCAGAGATATTAACATAGACGTGTGTATCGAACTGATTGTGAGCCATAGCAACGCGTGGCTGTTCATCCCTCTAGTATTATATATATATATATATTTTTGTAAGATATTATATCAATTTTTCATTTGATATTTTACAGATACAGAAAATTAGCGTTGAAATGGCACCCAGACAAAAATCCCGAAAATTTAGACGAAGCAAACAAGAAATTCAAGGAAATATCTGAGGCGTATGAAGTATTGATAGACGGTAAGAATTTATTTTTCTAACTTTATTGCCAAAAAAAAGGTTAACGAGCAAAAGAAAAAAAAATGAAAAAGTAATAAAAATGAAATTGCGGGGAAAAAAGTATTATTTATGGCTTGTTGAGAGAAAAAGGGGAGGGGGAGGGTGGGTGAGTGGGATTTGAAACAGAAATGGATTAAATAAAAATTACTTTTCAATTTTGAATATAAAAATATTTGGAAGGAACAAAAGGAGAAGAAAAAATTGAACGAAAATGGAAGTGTGAAGAAAAAAAAAAACTAGCGTAAAAAAATTTATATTTCATCATGGCGACTGAAAATGGTGCTTCGCATGAGAGCTTTTCTTTCAAAAGCAAATCCCCTATTCTATTTAAAAAAAAAAAAAATACAATGAAATTAATTCAGACAAATTTATATATATATATATATATTTTTTTTTTTTCTTTCTCTTTATCTCTATCTCTATCTTTATCTCCAAAAAAAAAAAAAAAAAAAAAAGAATTACAATTTATGTTAATTTTCATTTCAAATTGAAATTAAAATTAAATTTTTTATTTTACGTTTCATTATTTTGTTCTTTTCGTTTTGNAAAAAAAAAAAAAAAAAGAAAAAGAATTACAATTTATGTTAATTTTCATTTCAAATTGAAATTAAAATTAAATTTTTTATTTTACGTTTCATTATTTTGTTCTTTTCGTTTTGTTTGTTTGTTTGTTTTTTTTTTTTTCTTGTATCCGTTGAACGATCATTGAAAAAAAAAAAAACAATTGTTTGGAGGAAAACAAATGTGGTATAAAAAAAGAAAAGAAAAGAAAAGTAATTATTCACACTCGGAAAGAAAAATTTTTGAAAGGAGAAGTTGATAGGGAAAGTTCAACGAAAAATCTTTGTTTCCGGACACAATCTCATGGGGGTCAAACTTTGGTCTGGGTGTTCAGATGCGAAGAGACGTACCTACGACCAGCGATTGTATCAGAAGGCGTCGTCAAGGCCAGGCCGTGGATTCACCTTCCGGAGTTTCTTTGATTCTCCCTTCCAGCGACATTTTGGTACCATTTAAAAAAAAAAAAAAAAAAAAAAACAATCAAAATGAAAATGAAAATGAAAGAGTTGAGAAAAAAATTGAAATAATTGTCAAATGAGACAACAAAAGAAAAAGGCTTTACAAGATAAGCCCCTCCTACCATCATATCTATCATTGAACATTTCTTTCATATTTGAATTTATATTCTATTTTTCATTGCTGCAAATAATCAACAAGGGTTGGGAGAGGGTTAAGAATATAAAAAAGGGTTGTTTACTCATTTTCAATAGCTGGGGTTATTTTTATAAATTACAATTTGATAATAGATAAAACGTAGGATTGAACATAATCATTTTAAGAAAAATGGTAGTTGTATTGATTCGTATTTTAATAATGGCGGAAAGAGGGGGGAACAAAATTAGATTAGATTAGATACATCCCTTGCATTTTATTATTTATGCACGAGAGAGAGAGAGAGTTTCTATTGTAAACCCAGTTTGTGTTTTTAAAATCAAATTGTCCATTTCGTGTGAGTTCATTTGCGAGTGTTTTTTTTCCCCGAGGGGTGGGGTGGGTGGGGGGTAAACTTTTAAAAGAAATTATAAAAATGGAATCATTTTGATTAATTGTCCGGCGGATGTATTTTTATATATTATTACTTTTCTTTTTATTGTTTTGTTTACTGTAATAATAATTTTATTTTTATTTTTGCACATTTATATTTTTTTTTTTTGGTCTTTTCCCCCCTTTCATTACAAATATAAAACGTGAGGTATAGAAGAAAAGAGATGGAAATACAAATATATCATAATTATATTCTTATTTTTCCATTTATGGTTGAGAAAAAAAGGAGAGAGAGAGAGAGTGTCGTCCTGGATTCGCTAGCTTTATTTTCTTTTTTCAACAAGCGTAACAAATACTCGTCATCTTGATATGCGCAAATTAGTTAACAATAATGAGTGCACCTTCTTGTTGGCAAAGAGTTCTTTTTCTTTTTCTTACTTAACAAGCAATCTTCTCCTCCCTATGTTTTCCTCATCAATTATTTACAAACAAAACAAAACAAAAAGAGAAAAGAAGTAAACATTTTGATTACAGTAAGTCGTCGTCATTTTGTTCTTCTTCTACATGTTTGATTGGCAATTAAGTGATTGCAAATTTTGTCGATAGATGGCTTTTTATACTCAGCAATGATTTAATTGATTCACATTTTCTATTAATTTCTTTACTTTTTTTTATTTTTTGCAATAAAAAAACATATGTCAATTTAATTAGTTCTTTTCTCTTGCTCTGTGATGATAATTTTTGTTCATGCAAATTTCCTTGTTTATTAAAATAAAACAAAAATAAACATAGCAACAATTACAACCAACCAACCAATCAACAACAGTAACATAAACCAATCCTAGCAAATATTTGACTAACATACACAAACATATGTTGAAATTCGCAGAAATTTCCTCCCCTGCTGCTGCTTCTTCTTCTTCTTCTTCTTCTTGGATTTTGGAACGAATAAACATTTGTTTTTATGAAATCTTTATTTCATTCATTTCATTTGATTAATATGATATTTTGTTTTATTTTTACAGAAAAGAAAAGGCGCGTTTATGATCAATATGGCAAAGAGGGTCTACAGATGAACGGTGGCAAGAGACGTCATGAAAGTGACTACAGGCCATTCTTTACCACCTACGTGTTCAGAGATCCAGAGGAAGTCTTCAGAGAATTCTTTGCCGGCTCGTCCTTCGATGATCCCTTTGATAGTAATTAAAATATCAACAATTATTTTATTCATTCATTCATAACTCTGACGTCTTTAATAACATTTATAAAGATTAGTTAAACATAATTTTTTTTTTAATATTGTGGTTCGGAAAGTCGTTTCGTTTTTTGCTGACGCAATAATGGTTGCATTAGTTGATGCAAACTGACAAATAATAACACATGAGATCAAAGAGAGATTAAATTGATCAAATTCAACTATTTATGACCACTTGAAAGGTTTAGATTTAACTTCGATGCAAAAATTGTCTTCATTTTTACAAAAGAAAAACGAAACGATTTTTCAAACCACCTACACAATGTAAAGAAGTTCAAAATTACGTATCAAAACTTTTGATTTATCGTGTATACATTTCTTTAATAATTTAGATAAAAGTTAGTAAATTATAAACGGAATTAATGGTAGCATGTTCTTAGGTTCATACATTCAATTTGACTAGCGTTGTTCTATAAATTTATTAACACTAGATATACCACCATTTTCTATATACTTATGTCTACCACACTAGTCAAAATGGACTGGTGTATACAAAAAATGTTTTTTGAGACTTTCAGTCTTTATTTACTTTTAAAAAATAACAACAAATGTTTTAACAATAATAATTTTAATAGATAAATGGATTAATAGACATTTTGAAAAAACAAAACGCTTAATTATTTACAGAAATCAAATGTTACATAAATTAAAATGGCCGACCAGTCAAAATAACTGGTCTGGTGTATATCTAGTGTTAATCATCGTTAATATAAAGAACAAAATCTTATATTTAGTATACAGTATTTAAATGAAGTATATAATAAAATGTATTTTCGATTATTAGGCTTATTCGTACCTGCTGCAAGACGAGGTCAAGGTAGTATTGGTACTAACAACAGTTTAAGCGCATCATTGTTTGGACGTCTAGGTATTCATTCACCGTTCTATAACCCATTGGGTGGTATGGATTTTTCCGAGTTCACTGCATTTCCTACTATCGATGTATCCGCCAATCATGGGGCAGCAGTTAAAAAGACCAGTACTTCGACACGTTTCATCAATGGGAAAAAGATCACCACCAAAAAGTAATGATTCAAATAGATATATATATTCTTGATGGTTCTTATAATGAAACAAGTTTAACACATTGCCAGCCGGCAACCTAAAAGACATTTAAAGTCTGAGCTTCGGCAACGTATCGGCCACTTAATACGTTCATGCTGGCGCGTACCACCGGTGGCCCGCACTAGACTGTCTCATCGGGCGGCTTGTACCACCGGTGGCCCGCACTAGACAGTCCCATCGGGCGGCGCGAAAAACTAGCAAAAAAAAATCCACATCATCGTGGGGCAGCTACTCAAGCGACAAACTCAGAAATCCGCGTTTTTGCGGGGGTGGGGGAGGGGCCGGCCGGCTGTCAATGTGTTAAAAAAGAAAGTAGAAGATAATTCATCTTTTATTATTTCTAGTGTCATCTAAATCAAAGATTCCCAAGCTTATTAAACTTATAAATCGTCTAAAATATATCCCAGGGTTATTTTTGAAGAGAAAGAAGGAAGAAGGGGGGTGGTGCGCTTTTGATTGAAATGTTAATACTTTTTGTTTGGGAATCATTGATTGAAATAAATTAAATAATTGAAATTTATTCATAATAATGAATGTAATCATTTGATTTTTGTTTGTCATCAGGATATACGAAGATGGGAAGGAAACCATAATGTCATTCGAGAACGACGTCCTAAAATCAAAGACGGTGAACGGAGTACCACAGTCAATAACGTACAGTTAAATTAAACTTTCAATTCGAATTTCAATCTCTCATCGGCAATCGAGAAAATATATCCTGTCGTCGTCACGTTTCAAATATCTCTACTTCGAAGTACACTCTGCTAATCCAACGGCATCCAGCTACTACCTACCATCAATATATATATATATATATCCAGAAGTCGCGTTTTCTTCTCTATGTCAAGATCAACGTCGAGACTATCTTTACTATTCTTTCATCTGCTTTTTTTTCTCCTACTATCTACTTCTACTACCTTCTACTACTTCTACTTCTCTTCTGTCTATTTTCTTCGCTTTCATCTATCTATCTCTTATCTTATTTATAATTCGTCAATTCGTTTATAGCAATTAATTTGGACTTTCTTTTTGAGGATTACTTTTAAATCATTTTTTTTTTTTTTTTTTTTTTTTTTGGGCTGTGCTCGTTTCAAAATTCAATTATTTATTTACTTTCTTATCTATCCCCTCTTTTTCTTTTACATCCGTTTTTTCTTTTTTACTTTCGTGTATTGTGTGTGTGTGTGCGCGCGCGCGCACCCAAACGCATTTTAAATGTATTATTTATATAACGTTTAATGTCCAATCAAGAAAAAAATATACATTTAATTAAGATAAGAGACGTGTATGGTAATGACAGGATCTCTCTCGTATTCGTTGCGATATTAGATAACAAAAAAAAATATATATATATATATATATATATATAAAATAAATATAAATTTAAGAAAGTGTTATTAATTAAAATTAAGCAAAACACTAGGTGATGAAGATGATGATGATGATGATGATGATTATAATGATGATACTATCCCGCTCTCGTCACGTTTTTATTTTATCAGGTTCGAGCAAGTATCGACAAGTCGTCAGGTCGCTGAAGGAGGTGATGATGTTACGGTGATTAGCCAGACTGTAAAACCGCATCATCACGGTGATTATCCGAAGGGTACCAGAAACAAAACCCATCATCACCCACATGTCAAGAAGGTGGATAAAAGTAAGAGAAAGTAAAAAAAAAAGAGAGAGACAGAGAGAGACGCGCAACACCAACCATTTTTCTCGGCGCTTCTTCTTCTTCTTCTTCTTCACACGTTCCTTTCTTAAATAATTAATAAAAAAAAAAAAATCGATTGATGAAAAATAGGTTGCGGTACGATGGACTTGATGTAAATTTTTCCTTTTTTTTTTTTATCGCTATTATTACTATTACTATTACTATTATTATTATTATTATTATTATTATTAATATTAGTATAATTATTTTTATTATTATTATTATTATTAATATTAGTATAATTATTATTATTATTATTATTTTATTATTATTATTATTATTTACTACGACATCATGTTTGTTGTCGCTTAAATGAAGGAAAGTTCCACGTAAAAAATATAATAACAGATGTAAATCTGATTTAATTAATAATCGTATCTTGTGAGAGTGATGTTCGGTGAAAAACAAAACAAAAAAACAAACAAACAATCCGTATAGATTTACATATCTGTATGCGATTGGATGATAATGAAATAAAATTATATGTCAAGTAATATTATAGTAAAAATATATTGAAATTTTCTGATTGTATGAAAAGCGGTGATATATATATATATAATAACATCTGCAGGTAGAATATAGTATGGATAAATAATATATATATATTATATATATATTATTTTTCTTTCTCAGTTGTTGTTGTTTCATCAACTGTATAATAATAATAATATTATTATTATTATTTAAAAGATCAATGTTTACAAAATTAATGATTAAACAAATTGCACATCATTTCTTTTCATGTTAAAAAAATGTTACCAACAAATTTATACTTGCATAAGGTTTTTATTTAACAAATTTTATTTCAATTGTCATCATATATATATATTATATTATATAAATAACACACATACATACAATTATTATGCATCATTCTCTCGCGTGTGTTATTAATTAAAGATACGTTGTTCAATTTCAGAACTGATGATAATTAAATGATTAAAATTTTTAAGCTATAATTGAATGAAGAGAACAAAAAAAAAACAAAACAAAAAAAGAAATCCTTAAATGTGTCAACATTATTAAATTTGTAATTTTTAAGTTTTAAACATTTGAATTGGGCCCCCTTACCAAGTGCGCATAATAGAAGATATTAATTTCAATATGAAGATCAATTGCTTTATCATTGCCTTAAATAAAATTGTATTGTCTCAATAATTTAACAAGATAATTCTCATTATTTCTTCTTTTTCTCATATATATATATATATTTATATATTTCGTTACAGTTGATTTAACACGTTGAACGCCATGTGAATTTTTACAGAAATCTTTGTCAGGCCACGTTGAGTGTCTGAGTTATATCTAAAAGTTGACTGTCAGGCTTTGGTGCCTGACATGGCCTGAACGTGAAGTTGAGTGTCAGTCATTGGTGCCTGACATGGCCTGAACGT